ATTCTTGCAAATGTTGAAACATTTCATCCTGGATTGTCTGCCTGACTTTGCTATCTAACTGATATTAAATCTCTGAAAACTGGAGCAGAGAGACGTGACAGTAGGCGTATATTAACTGTTAGAAAGAAGCTGTGAAACTCTGCAGTTATTCCAGACATCTTTGGTAGAACGGATAAAAACCCAGAGAGGACCACTGTTTACCCCTCAATTATTGCTAATGGGAAATAAATGTGGAGCGTTCCTGCAGAGCGATCCAGATGCCCCAGTTCTACATGTGGAAAAACTTTCAGCCTGGACGAGTTTTCTGTCGGACAAAGACTGGCAGGAAGAGATGAACGAGTGTGAAGAGGGAGGAGGAAGGAGGAATGGAGGGAGGTGAAGACAGGAGCTGGGGAATTGGAAGACGGACGAGATGTTCAAGGACGAGGGGAAGGAAGCAATTCAATGTATGAACAAAGTATTCAGGAGAGATAAACTCTGAGGTGAGATTTGGGTGAAATGTTTGAGCCAAGAAACTAAACCAAAGCTGTCAGATTGACTGAGAGCGATGATGGTCTGAGGCTTTAAATTGTCCAAACTTGTGGCGCCGGTAGCCTAGTGGTTAGTGCACGGGCCCAATGTACAGAGGCTTAGTCCTAGAGAGCAGTCAGCTTGGGTTCGAATGCAACCTGTGGCTCCTTTCCTGCATGTCATAACCCACTCTCTCTCTCTCCCCCGTTTCTGACTCTATCCACTGTCCTGTCTCTGAAATAAATCTTTGGGTGGTTTCACACTCGGGACCCAGGCCTGGAATCGAGTACACTTGATCCAAAAGTCCGGTTTATTTGAACAGTGTGAACAAACGTTCCGTACTCGGGTACTGGTCCCGAGTCCACTTGAAGAGGTGCTATCGGCTTCGCTTCATTTCACTTACGGACCATGCTCAAACAAGGACGTGGACCACTGAATGACGTAATTCTAAACGGCCCTTCCAAAAGCGCCGTATCTGTGCTGCACGGGCCCATTTCATCCTCTGAGCTGCATGATAGATGTAGAAGTAGGAAGGGGGTCGTTGCTTGCGTGGTTGCTTCTTCTTCTTTCTACTTTCTGCAGATTTGCTAACCGTCTATGTGCATACTGCCACCTGCTGTATCGGACTGTGTGCGCAAGGGTACTCGAGTACTGAACGATGTTACAATTGTGAACGCAGACCGGGGAGGGGGAGCAAACGTGCTTGGGTACAGTACTAAACAATCGTGCCTAATATGAAAACGCCCTTAAAAAAAAAAATTACAAAAAAAAAAAACAGGTGAGCTGCATGTGTGAACACAAATGGCAATTTATCCAACTTTTTAGAGCCAGCCTCCTTGTAAAGTTTACGGAAAAAGTCGAGGTGAGCTGATACACCACTGAACTGAACACAACAGGAAATATTCTGGAAAATTTGCCGTGAGCGAGCAGTTTGGGGATGATGCCGTTAATATCACGTGACCGGTTTGATCTTTCTGCATGTCATGACTCTGCTTCATACTCTTTTCTGCATACCAGTATATTCTTTCACTCTTTAGTTGAAACTCTGAACTTGTCCAATTACATGTCGCACTGAACTGTCATTATTCAGAATGCTTCATCTGACATCTTTGATTTGTCGTAAACATTACACCGTAACTCCTGCATAGTTTTTTGTTATGTCATGTCCTGCCTCCTGAGTCCCTGCTTTCTTCCTGTCCGACAAGTAAAATGTCCTGCTGTGTGTGAGAGAGCAACTCATGGAGATTTCAGCTGCAGGCAGTCCTGAAATCTTCAAGGAATCTTCAGGTGTGCATGTGTGAAAGGGGCTAAACTTGTTTTTAAAAAGCCTCCATGGTAAATCTGTTTGATTAAAATCATCCGGTATGCAGCTGAGCCCACAGCCTCGTCTCCCTCTGGGGTTATCACTCATCTCCTCTGTAGGATGTTAAAGGCAGCTGGTAATCAAACAGCAGGGTTTCCTCTCTCATGGAGGTACTATTATGAACCCTTAGAATGTGGGTTCCATTTAGCTAAAGATCATGTGTGTAACTGCGGGGCTTTCCTGTGATTCAAACATCAGCACTGAGCGTGTCCTTAGCTTACCTTCAGATTCTGTGATCAATGAGCTGCAGCTCGGATCTCTTCAGGAATCAGACCGCGGAGCTTTGGAGGAAACAGGAAACCATCCTCTCTCCGAGGTGTTTTCTGGTCCTGAACTTTGGACTAAAATGATCTAATAACAGATCTGATCCTCTGGCAGCCGTCAGTCAGATATGAGCATGTTGGTGTTGGACATGAGTCGTGTCTCTAGCTTCTTCTGCAGCTTTGAGTGGGAGGATCATGAACCATCTCTCTGTGTGTCCTCTCTGAACGCCGACCACATTGTCCAAAGAAAATAGTTAAATTCTCTGAATTGTTTTCATGTTTTTGTGTGTTTTGGTGTCTGGACGCCTTCCGCGGCTCCGTGACGTTGGCAAGGTTCTTATCCTGCTCATATAACTGTGATATTTTAGCTACCTATCATTTTCAAAGGTCAGATTAACTTTTGCCCTGCTCGCTGCAGTTTGTCTTGGTGGTAAAACTTGGTGTGGTTTTGTCACATAATTTACTTGAATGTTGCTATTTGTCCTCAAATGTTCTCTCAGAGAAAATTTAATTCGGCCACATTCCCCAATTTCTGTACATTTGCTCACAATCAAGATAAAGTCTATGTATCACAAAAATGCAGTCAGATTTTTTGAAGGATGAATGTGTGACTTTTTGATCCAGTAGATGTCGCCATTGAGCACCAACAGGAAACCAAAACAAACTACTGTTTGGCCACACCTCCTCCATACTGAAGCCTCCGCTCTCCTGCAGCGACGCTGTTATTAAGTAACATCAAGCGCAAGCTTGTGTTAGCGTGCTAATGTTAGCTGTAAACACGGCTCTGACAACAACACAGCCAGCGGGACTTGAGCTTCTCTCTCATTGTAAACAGTCATGACTCAGAGAGACATTTACACAGGATACAGGGCCACTGGTTTTCAAAGCTCACTGGCCCGACCATTGTAACCGCTGGCCCAGGGACGTTACTTTTGATTTGAAGAATAACAGTCACCAATTTAGGCTACTCTTGAACTATTCTGATGCAAAAGTAAATTACAACTTTTATTTAATTAATTGAGCTCTAGTTATAAAAATATTGTGTATTTTTCTTATATTTATGTGCTCATGTTTATTCACCATGCTGGTAACTGTAAGAGTCTACTTAATCTGATTGATATTAATATGAGGTTGTGATAGAGCTGGAACTGTTATGATCACCTTTCTCTCCTTATTTCTTCTCTGCTAAAACTAAAAACTAAGATGTTAAGATGGGCTAAGATGCTTTGTGAATAACTTTTATCTTTACCAGGCTCTAGTCTTTAACTTTAAGGGGAAATTTAGCTGCAGCGTGTTCCAGCTCCTCCAGCTGTCTGTCACTGTGGCTGAAACTTTTCTCCGTTCTGTTTTCGTCATGCCCTGCTGTCACTCTCGAGTCTTCCGGTGATTTTTTTTCTTTGAATGCTGATTTAAGCTCGACTTTTGTCGGGATCTGATGGTTTTAAAACCGTTTTACCAAACGTGTTTTTTATCAGAGAAAATCTGTGTGCAAGTGTACAATTCGAGTGTAGCGTGCGCGCTCGTGGGGAGTGACAGCAGTGAAGCTGTCGGCTGCCTTTCAACTGTGACACACATGCGCGCGCACAAGTGCTTATAAGTTGATGCTGTAGCACTTATTAGCGCAACGTGCAATCAGCTGGCCCGGACTCTATCAATCATTCATCTGGGCCAGCGGGCCAGTTATAATGTCGAGCCCCGGGATAGATTTGATTTATGACATGTATGTGAAAAATGTTGCACATTCTTCCTTTAAGAGAAAATATTTGGTGCACAAGAGATATTAAATGTATTGTGTGTGCAGGAGACAGTTAGAGATTCTCTGCTGCACATTCAATACTTTATATCATCTTTCACAGTATGAGATTTGTCCTTCTCTGTGCAAAAATAACTTTATTGTTTCGTAATTTTCTGAATGATGATGTTTTTTCACAGATGGGGAATGTTTGTTTTGCTGTAAGTGAAACATTTTTTGCATTGAGTGAAATATTTTTGGCGCCTTGTGAAAGGTTTTCTGCAGTCATGAACTATTCCATCCTGAAACCCTGCTGGATGTTTACTCTAAATATGAAAATGGTTTGATTCGTCGTCGTGGCTTCATTCAAGGAAACCACCACTCTTGAATCTGCAGCACAGTGTGTGTCATTGTTCTGGTTACGTTGAATGCCGTGGCTTTGTGGGGCACCGTGTGGGCGCAGAAGACATTCATGTCAATTATAGCGAAGTCTGAGTGGAGACGCTTGTGACTCTGGATCAGTGCCCTTGTTTTCTTGACTTTTTCTGGTGGGGTTTTGATGGTTCAGCTGCATTTCTGTGGCACAAAAGAGAAACGCTTAAGCTTTTCTGACATCCTACACCTTCCAGCAGCCTTGTGCGACTCCTTTGGACCCCAGAAAAAAGGGAGAGCACCTGTGTGTGAGGGAGGAGACTAACGTGAGGAGAGCAGGTCGCTGTGGGGGGAACACAGTGGACTTAGCAGACTACAGCTTACTTACAGAAGTACGTACGGATGTTTGGATTTCAGTGGCGTGTAGCAGCACACCCTGAAATAAATCATAGACGAGAGAAAGAGAGAGAAGAGAAGAAAAGAAAGGCACAAAGGGAGGATTGAGGGAAATAAGGCTGACTGGTTGAGTAGCGTGAGGATGTCAGAGAAAGGTGAGCAGAGCTGCTGCTGTTCTGAGAAAACAGACTGGATGGAGTGAATTAGCACCTTTCCTCGCACTGATCCCACCTGGAACAAGAAGAACAGCTGTGAGACAAGAAGGAGTGAATAATTATCTGTGCAGAAGGCGGGCAGGTTGGTGCGATTCGAAACAGGCGAGTTCTGTAAACGTAGAGAGTGTTGGACAGGAGGACGTGTCAGGATGATGTCTGCACGGCGCCGTCAGAGCTGCCCCTCCCTCTCTGATGAAGAAACCAATGGGAACCACACAGATCCTGGACCAGAACCAGACCACGAAGAGCTGGACTGGGACGGCTTTAGCACCACGTTGGAGCATAGAGAAGCAGCTGTGGGTAACTTTTTATTTGTCTGAAGACGAAGTGAAACAGTTCTGGTGTCAGTTATTAGCGCTTTGATCCTGTAGAGGCTTTACACGGGCCGGGGGATTTGGAGAAATACTGAAACAATATATTTTTCTATATTGATCAACATTGATAACCCTCACCATATCATGATTGAAAAATCCTAATGTGATCTGCAAGCTGAGCTGCAGCTAACATTAGCGTAGCCTGTTAAAGGTGTTTAGCATGTGTTTATGTTAGCTCTAGCATAAATTGATCAAGAGGTTTCAACCAGGAGCACGATTACAGGTCTCATTTTCTTAAAGGTCCCATATTATGCTTTTTCTGGTTTTACATGCCCTTTAGTGTGTTTTCCAAGTGTCCTGTGCATGTTTAGGCACATCTATGTGCAAAAATTCAAAGTCTGCGGAAACGCGGCTTCTCCTACGTCCTCCTGTTAGCTGTAGCATTAGCTGCATGTAACGCTCGGTTCTAGCCCCCCTCGATAAAAATTTGTCAGTGCGGCGTCATTGTCAGTGTGAGATCACTGATCTAAGCCCATTGGCTCGTTGTGGCAAGCCCTGCAGCTCATTTTGAAATTTCTGAGAAGCGTGCTGAGCAACTGACCAATAACAACAGAACGGATCGGCAGGCCAATCAGAGCAGACTTGGCCCACGTGGGGTCTAACAGTGTGGGCTCAACAGAGTGCAGCTGACGGACTCAGAGCATAGAGGGAGCAAGGAGGAGCAGTACATGAAAACAGACACTTTTGTCGAACTTAAGCTATTGTGAACGTACAAAAGTAGGTACGTAGATTAAATATACGAACCCCAAAAAGGGCCAAAATGGGCTCTTTAAAAACAAGAGGAAACAGCTGAGCGAAACATTTTTGTATTTTGTCTGTGATGTGTTTCATCTGACACAGCATGTCAAAAGAGGACCCGCCTCTTCTGCTAGCCAAGCTGCTGCTGTCATATACAATCAGGGCCTGACTCACAAAACGATTGTGCTGCTTTTAGTCCCACTAAAATTGCAAATGAATCAAAAAGACACAAAGGGTTAACATACATCCAACTCCTCATTTCTACATCCGTGTGCGCCGCGGTCAGTCAGCGCCAAGGTTTTGCTCTGTCAGACAGCATGCAGAAATAAATAGAAAAATGTGCAACAGCACGTTGCTTTGTCTTTTTGAGCATGATTTATTGTTCATTCGGTGCCTGTTTTGATGTAATGTTGATAAAGTGATGGAAAATAGTCTGTATATTGTGTTTTATTGAGAAATTGACCGGATTCGCTCTGTGCGTTTCCTTGTCTGACTTCCTGTCCGGGTCGTTTTATTCTGTCTGCGCCGTTAGCTCCAGAGAAAGACCTCGGTGCTCGCTGTGGAAACACAATCATTGACTAGAGTTGCAGCGAACGACGGCGTAGTGCGCAATGCTGACGGACCGCAGAGTGAATGGAGTATGTGGGAATTGGGAGTAACTGCGCTGCAGAGCAAAAAGCACAAGTGTTGAATGATCCATTATGCAGAAATTTGGGGACAAATGTCTCCTTTCTAAGCAAATGAGCCACTTTGCAACGAGGGCGCAACAGCCACGCAGTTATAGTGAAAAAATGGTTGTCTGCTGAGAGTTGGTGGTAACTGCGCCGCAGTATTTACAAGAGATTTGATGTTCAAACTTTTCTAGTGATCAGTGAAACAATTCCACCTCTGTATGCCTTCAAAATAAAAGCTCTGTAAATAAAGTCTGTAACTCTGACATGTCTATTATTAGTAGAACCAGGGGTTAATTAGTCCGCGGCTGTCAGCGGCTCCACACTTCATCCAACATGTGTAGAGACGCTCTGGAGCAGTTACCATGGCGATGGTGTGAGTGTCGTTGTTGTTGTCTTTGAGTTATCCTTCTCCTTCAGGGAGGAAGCATTGTTTGAAATGCTGGAACTCATGCCACATGTTTAGAGCGTGTCCTCTTGATAAAGTGTCAAAAGTTTCCCCTCCCAGGGGAGGCAGGCTTAATGTGCTTATTGAATAAGATGTTCTATCTTCACTAGTTAGTACATCTCTGTAAAAACACTCAGGTAAATTTGAATTTCCTGATTAGTGGATTATTTACATTTTTAGAAACAATGCAGGCCTCATTTTTGGTGTTTTATATCTTGAAATATGTTACAAATACACTTGTTCAGATTTGAGTTCTTGCTTCAGATAGCATGGTGTTCCAAGTCCCGGCACGGACCAAGTTCGGAAATTGGCCTGGTAGCTGGAGAGGTGCCAGTCCACTTCCTGAGCACTGCCGAGGTGCCCTTGAGCAAGGCATCTAACCCCCCCACCAGCTCAGGAGCGCCCACTGTGGGCAGCCCCCTCACTCTGAGACCTCTCCATTAGTACATGTCTATAGGATCCTGTTTGTGCATGTGTGTGTATTTCGGCCTATGTTTGTGTAGCATGTTAACTAGACAGAGTGTAAAAACGAATTTCCCCTCGCAGGATCAATAAAGTATAAATTATTATTATTATTATTATATTCAGCTGTTGTGTTGCATTGCTGCCTGTACATGTGTCTGTAAGCAAACTGTGCAATCAGGCGATGTGCAATCACATCAGCACTTTAAAGTTTAGGCTCCATGTGAACCTCAAAACCATGTGCATTACTCCAACACTTTAATAGTCCGACACTTTACCTCTGAAGGTCATATTCTGGTTAGTTTTGAACAACATTGCACTGTCACTTTTTATGCTTGTATGTCTCTGTCAGCTAATGTTCAGTTTGTGTCGTTGTTTGGTCGTTACTTGTTTGGTTTTTGCTTGTCCTTGTGTTCAAAAGTAAACATGTAAACATGTGAACTAGCAACCTCCCGAGGGACTACAGATGGAAATTAGTCGTTGGCTATAATCTGGCATAATTAAACCTACATGTTTATGTTCATTAAAGGCTTAATATGCGGTTTTTCACACTTAAATGTAATAGAAATCAAGTATATCCTCTGAAAATAACTGTGATTCATGCCTGTCTACAATGTGTGTAACACACGAGTCCCACTGTCTGTGATGTTTTCCAAGCTTTCCTAGCCGTAGCTTCACTTTGTTTACATCGCCAGGACAGCCGGCCGGCTCATCGCCTCGTGTTTAAAAGTTGTTTAATTGAGGGACTAGAGAAAAGAAGAATAACATACTGTACTCACTGCTTAATTGAATGTCACGTAAGCGTTTCTAGATCACAGTCATTTCGGGTAAATTTACATGCAGTTTGAAGTTACGAGCATAATAAAGATCGCTAGCATTAGCATGCTAACACAACAATGCAGCGCAAGATGTTTTGGTTTCATGCTGGTGCTCAAGGGCGACATCTACTGGATCAAAAATTGCATATTAAGCCTTTAATTTGTCTCTAAAAAATGAAATAATGTGCAGTACCTTTAGCTCTTTGACTGTGCAACACATCACCTAAATCAGTTGACTCATCACTTACAGTATTTACAGTTTCTGAACTGTCAGTAACAATTCAAAAAGAGGATGATTGATACGTTTTAAAAAAGTTAAGTTACAAATGGGTGTGTGGGTGTGTGCACAATCCTGTGTGTACTTAAGTGTGTTCACTAACACACTAACACATGTTCCCTTTTGGTCTGAAGTGTTGTCCTTCAGACTTATCGGAGGAGGGATGTTTGTGAAACGTGATGTTTGCATTTGGAAAGGTTTGAAAAAGAGCTCAGACTGAGACTTTTATGGAAAAGCGTGCAGATGGAAATGTGGTCGCCTGATGATTTCACAGCTGCTCTCATATGAGGGTTCAGCTCGTTCCAGATGCTTTGCCCATGATGCCTGCTGCTGCAGACAGTGACAGTGAGCAGAGCTGCGTTCACAGTCACTGCTGTTATTGATGGCTGCTCACTGACTGATCTGCTGTGTATAAAACTCGCTTATTGAGTCTTGAGCTGAACGTCATGTGTTCAGCTCGACTATATTAAGACAGCTGCAGGAGAACAAAGCGGAGGTTTCTGCTGACACGAGGGAGGAGAGGTTTGAACCTGTGGTGAAAGCTGCGGTAAGAAACTCTTTGTATCGGCGAACTGTGAATCATTATTAAGATAATCCTTTAATATTCATCTGTAATCGCTTCACCTTTCACTGGATCTTGTTCGTCTTTTACCTCAGTCGACCTTCTTCTTCTATCCTCTCAAACTTCAGTTTACAGAAATGCTATCATTAGATCAAATGAAAGACTTTCAGATGTTTGTAGCAGAGATATAAAAGTGTTAAATGAAATCAGAATCATTCAAATGAAATCAAACATTGCTGGGTTTTGTAGTTTTGGTTCTTGATATGATCACCACCGTCCTCATTGAGTCAATGAGTCAACTGACAGATAGTTTTTTCTTATTCTAGCCATAAGAGTGAGCAGATGTGTGGATGTAAATGTGTTTGTCTCGGGGGTTATTTCTCTTAATGCAATTACACACTGTCCCGTGCTCAGCAGGTATAGACTTTTATACAAGTAGTGCAGGGTATGCACATGTACAAAGTATAGCCACTTACTGTTCAGTCGTTTTAGGGTACTCACTTCTAAATCTCCTCTGATTGACAATATTCAGTCGTATGCTGCAATTCTTTTTCCTGTATTGCGGAGAAATGACCCGTCCAACTCGGTCTCTAATTGGCCAGTAAGCATTGTTCTTTGCATCGGGGCCAAAATGCTCCCACTGCTTTGTCAGTGGTGTGTGAATGTGTATGAATGGATGAGTTAATACTGATGGACTCTACTCAGCAGCCTCTACCATCAGGGTGTGAACTGGGAATACATTTTAAGGTAAGAGTGCTTATTTGGGGCTGCACGGTGCTGCAGTGGTTCCTGGTTTGAATCCCCCTCTGACAGGAGCCTCTCTGTGTGGCGTTTGCATGTTCTCTCCGTGCATGCGTGGGTTCTCTCCGGGTTCCACTCACAGTCCAAAGAAATGCTTGTTTTTCCCGTTGTAATGACACCCCTCTCCACTGGAGGCACTGTGGGTGCTGTTAATTCAGGTCAGGCCCAATTTTGCACTTTAGATCACATTGTACTTTCATGTTTTATTCTTTGTTTATTAAAGAATAGTGCAATGATAAATTACATGTTTGAGTCAGTTTGTTTTAAACAAATACAAACACATAATTATTTAACAAATATCAGAAGGTACTGTGAGTAGTTACCTGGGTATTTCTCCCATCTAAGTGTAATATTGAATCGATATCCAATCGTGACCCAAAGAATCGAAATCGAATCGCATTGTGAGGTTGTGGACAATACCCAGCTCTACACTTTAGGTTAACTGGTGACTCTAAATTGTCTGTAGGTGTGAATGTGAGTGTGGCTGGTTGTCTGTCTCTATATGTCAGCCCTGTGATTGGCTGGCGAACAGTCCAGGGTGTAACCCCGCCTCTCGCCCAATGACAGCTGGGATCGGCTACAGCAAAGAACCTAGATAAAGTACAAATATTATGATGATAATTCGAACACAAAAGGAGCTTTAAATAGTAAAATGAAAAATGAAAAAGCATATTCAATTCTCGCCTCTCTACCTCTGTGTCTGTGACCCTTCAGGAGCAGGAGAGCGTCCAGGCGTCCGAGCAGCACTGCGTCCAGCTGGAGAAAGCTCGGCGGGAGCTGGAGAGGCAGCTGTCCGGTCTGGAGGAGCGTCTGGAGGAGGAGGAGGCGTGTTCAGCTCAGCTCATCCTCCACAGGGAGCGTCTGGAGGTTGAGTGCAGCAGCCTGAGGAGAGACGTGGACGAGCTGGAGAGCGCTTTGACTGCAGCCGAGCACGACAAACAGGTAGGAGAGGCTGTGATGTAGATCCACTTTGCATGATGTGCAGCTCAAAAAGTCCTTATTTATCTGATACTGGCGTCTGTAAAAACCCTCATTTCAGCTTCTGCCTGACACGGTTCATTTCAGGTGCTGTCTCTTTAAGACCCCCCCTCCCCTCTCTGGAGAGAGAGTACTGAAGGCCAAAAATAAATCTTTAAAAAAGATGAACGAATAGCAGAGCAGATTTAAATTTTTCCTAACTGAGCCTTGGGGGATCCGTGTTTGGAAAAGTTTCACTTTGTCCTGTATCACAACACGTGAGCCTACTGTGGGGAGATAACGACGCAGCAAAACCAAGAAAGAGCACAATTACATCGGCAGCAGCAAGCAGCTGCACAAAACCAACAAAAGGACGGCATGTGAAGTAGAATAACACACACTGAAAACAATGCATTCAACGAGTCTTAACAGCGGACATCGCTCTCTTTCTCTCTCTCTCTCTCTGCTCACCTGCAGAGTTTTTTTTTCCACAAGTAGGCGATGGGTGCACGTCAAGCGCAACGAGAAACACACAGGCAGTGTAGGGCGGGCTGTAACTTTGTAGCGTTTCTGTCTACGTATTTTCAAAGTAAAAGCCATCTAGCACTTAATACATTAATTGGTTACAGTTTTTGCTGTCTTGTTTTTTTTTTTTTTTAAAAAGACCTCATCAGTGTTTCCCCTAGGTTTACAGCTTTAAGGGGGTGGCAGACGGACGCCGACACAAACACTTGAAGGAATCATCTTGGTGTTCATGCGTTACCAGTCAGCCATTCAGTCAATGGCTGACTAGATTCTATGATTGACTTTTTTCTCCTTTTGTTGGACCAACCAATCACAGCTTCTCAACCTAGCCTACATTAGAAAAAAGACTAATTTGCAAGTTTCTGACCAGTTCAACCAAACTTACTGTTTTTAAATACACAAAAACTGTGCTGACAAGTTAAGTCCATTTGAAAAACATCTTTGTAGGAGGTCTGCAGGTCTCACCCAGAACATTTTTAGCACCAGAAATGTCTTTCCCTTGATTTGATCGATATTTAGGCACAATTTGCATCGGGGGATTTGTAGACGGACTAGAGACACATATTAGTGTTAGAGGAACATGGTGACGTGGATTTTACCTTTGTGACCCTTCAGCCCCTCACCAGACCTCTCCCCCTTTACCTGTCTCACAGAGCGTGTCAGAGGAGGATGATTATGATGATATCTGTGGTCAGGAATGCTGCAGGAATGTTCTGCTCCCACAAAGCTGTGAGGGAGACCTTTAATGCTTCAGAGCTTCTGATTAACCTGCTCGGTGTCAGTGTCAGGATGTGTAGAAGCTGATCGTCTGGTTTCAGGTTTCCTTGTCTCATGTTTTAGGTACAGTAAATGAGATGGAGAGAGAGGATCCGTCATGGTGGGCGTAACACGTTCAGAGTTGTTTGGAGGCAGATTTTACACAGACCCAGTCTAATATGTGTGGTGTGCTGTTTTCATAACTCTGATCATTCTGAACATGAAGTGTTTGAGTCAAAGAACCTAAAGTTTAAGGCTGATTGCTCTCATCTGTCTCTTCTGTTTTCTATTAAAAACTCTGATTTGTTTCTGTTTTTGAAGTTCGGACATAAAACTTGGACACCGTCGTAAATCTTCGCCTCTGACAGATTTCACTCTTTGTGTTTGGGAGGAGCTGAACTCCACATGCTGATAAAGCTAAGAAACGCAGAATCGTGACATCTGTTTCTGTCACACTAAAAGGAGATGATTGTTTAAAGTTGTGACGGCAAAATCAGAACCTGAAGATTGAAGGCGTCATTTATGAGCCATCGTGGTTGTTGTTGACTGACATCAGCAAACACGCCAATTTTTTAAGAGCCTCTATAACTGGTGCATAAAAATATGACTGGACAGCAAACCGGGGTAATGAGCACGTTCATATGTAACTTAGAGTTAGGCTGCTAGCATAGACTGTATAAAACATGGAGGTATGCTGTGTTTCAATTCAGGAGACGCCTCCTCTGAAGGCCTCCTCAGCCTGTGCAAACCCTAGGGACTGTAAATATGAACGTTTGAAGTCTGAGTGACATCACCCATCTGTTGCTGCAGGGGGCGCTGGAGTCCTGATGGCGGTCTCCATGCCGCTACATCCACGTCTGTCATATTAGCAAGTTTGAATCGCGTCCAATCACTGAATTGTATCCACTCCTAATGGCACCTGTGCCGCCTGCGGAAACACACCATCTCCAGCACTGAAGCTTCAGTGTCCACCACAATGTGTTGAATTTGGACTGCAGTACCAATTTTAAACACTAGGTGTCAGAGTTATATGTTGCTCCTTTAAAGTGTATATTTGTGTCTGACCTTCTTTTCCTTCGACCAGTCTTCAGACAGCGAGGTGAGGAGGCTGTCAGAGCAGCTTCATCTGAAGGTCGAGGTGGTGCAGAGGCTGCAGACGGATAAGGAACACCTGGTGGAGCTCAGCAAGGTGAGAGAAGTCGAGCTGCAGAGGAGGAGATTTCTCTACAACACAAAGTAATGTAGATAACTTTTTACTGCTCCTGAAGTCAAGACTAATAAGAGTTTATACCAGTATCTAATGAACTTCTATAAAACAAACTACCCCGCTGTGAATTCAGATTGATGTCATGCTCTGTGTAATCTAAGGAGACTAACCCAACATTAAGACAGCATGTGGTGCTATTTGACATTATCTCTGATTGTGTTTTTAATCTTAAGCTTTGTCCCGTGTTTGAAATAAAGAACGTTTAGTCAAACTGAACCATGTGTCCTGTGGAGCTGCCAGAAGTGTCTCTGGTGATAAATGAGCTCCGATCAGCAGACAGTTCTCTCTGCTTTGAAACCTTTAAAATCCTAACCTCTCACAACCTCATCGCTCTCCGTGGCGGCTTTAAGAGGCCGCGGCCTCTAACATCATCCATATGTATTAAACCAGCAGTAGCTTTGGGCACGACAGGGAAATCGGTATCCTCAGGCCTCATCATGCTCATTCTGTTTGTTCGACATGTGTTGGATTATTAATTTAATCTGTGATGGAAGAGAAACGAACACAGGATGAACTGATCTGGCATCTCAAATCTGTTGTTGTTTTTCTCAGCTGATGCAGAGAGAGAAACGCCAGACTTTTTCTATGCAACAAAATAAATGATGTATTTCTCAGTCTGGTAGACAGATGGATGTCAGGCGAAGCGTTGCTATTTCAAACTTGTGCAGCACAGACTCAGACGTCTCCTTTACGGTGTTTCCTCCTGACAGCAAGCCATTGAGGACCTGCAGAGCGAGGAGGAGAAGGTGAACCTGCTGACCAAAGAGAAGACCAAACTGCAGATTCAGGCTGAAGATGTGAGTTCATGCTCTTACTGTATCCTATATATTTATGTAACAACAAATACAGACCTCTAGGGTTAGGATACTTCATTAATTCATTTCCATATGCCACTTATTATGAACGTCACTGTTTGAGTTGAACAAATTAATAAAACCTTTATTGCCCCGAGGTAGTGGTGTGCGGTATAACGATCTTAGATTGTGAAGGATTTGAACATGCTGACGATCTGCCAAAGCAGAGAGATCGTAGAACTGGGTTTATGTGTTTATTCTATCATGCTGCAGTTTATGCTCTGACACAAAATGAATGTACACAAAGAGAGGACAAATTACTAAATCATAATTTCAAAGTGGTGCAGAAAACCTTCAAATTGTAAATATTGATGAAATATAAGGAAAGACGTTTCTGGTGCTCAAAATGTTCAGAGTGGGAGACCTCCAGACCTCCTACAATGATGTTTTTCAAACAGACTAAACTTGTCAGCACAGTTTTTGTGCATTTTAAAATATTATACAGGGAAATAGGTTTGGTTGCACTGATCAGTGACTTGCAAAATAGTCTCAAGATCAGTAAGAAAAAAATCGTGATCATGATTTTGCAACAAAAAAAAAATCGTGATAAGATATTGACAAAAAAGAAAAGACACAGAAACCACATACAGGACATAAATACTAAACAAGCCTGAACTCTCCCACATCCTGATGTGAATTCTTTTTTTTCTTTGCTGCTCTTCTCCCCTGCAGCAGAAGAAAAAAAAAAAATCTCCCAACGGCCTGTTTGAGCACACATTTACTGAAAAGTGGAGCAGGCAAAAGACGGAGAGGATGGACTTTTCTCATCATTTGGGGGTTTGTAGACAGACTAGAGACAAATATTAGGGTTAGGGGAACATGGTGAAGTGGATTTTATAGAACATGTGACCTTTAAAGCATCACATGAGGGATTTCTAGTAGCAGGTACAATAAAGTTCATCCTGTATGATGAGCGCTTATGAAAGGCTTACGGTAATATGCGATTTTTCACACTTGTGTGATGTAATAGAAATCAAGTATATCCTCTGAAAATAACTGTGAGTCATGACTGTCAAGTAATCGTTTTGTAGTTCTTTTTTTTCTGTGATTCTTTTCCCCCACGGGAGGCCCCGCCCCCAACTATGACGCGATGCCGACTGTATCTATTGATTAATTTGAATCTTCGTGATTTTAATAATTGTTAGTAATAGGCCTACTTTGAATTAACATTCAAATTAAGACATTTCTTACTTTAACAGACAGCAAACCTCAAATAAAAATTCACACAGACGTGTTATGACCGTTTTAACACTTTATTATAATTAGAGCAGTGAGTGTGGCGAGCGGACGCGCAGACATCAATGCGCTGTTTTGACAGCAACATTCTGTTAATAAAGACTACAGTCTGCAGTGTAGAGCACACTTTACTCTGGTAAATGAAGTTACAATAGAACAGGTGAACAATTTAAGTGTCTGTCTGTTTCATCTTTCTCCTCTGTGCGTAATGACACACTCGCTCAATCTCGCTCGTCCGTCCGCTATGAGCTATTTCTCCCTATAAGGTTGTTCCGTTTTGTAGTTATTAAAAGAATAATCATCTAAAATATCCAAAATATAGGAAAACATCTAGTTATGCTGCTCTGTCCTGGATGATCAAACGTCATTGGTTTGGCGGGGTAAAGCAGTAATCGCAAAGTGAAAGTCCTTCTTTTTCTGTGGACTAAAAAGACAATTTGAACTGAACTTGCGTAGATCATATTGCATATTTTGTTTGTTCGGGACTTTTTGTTCATTGTGAATTCATAGGGGGGTAAATTAAAGGGATATTTTTGTTAGGGTAGCAGCGTACGGATCAATAACGGACGTGTTTCAGCACAGAGCCTTTATCAGCGCTTTGTTTGTCATCTATTTTCTTTTTGCGCTCTTGCACCTGAAGTGAAGTGCACCTTTACAAAAATGTGGACTACAAAAAGATTATCGATTACATTTTTTTTGTAATGAGTAATGGGTGTAACAAGTCCCACTGTCTGTGATGCTTTCCGAGTTTTCCGAGTCCTATCTTCAGTTTGTTTACATCGCCGGGACGGCCAGCCGGCTCGTCCCCTCTCGTATTAAAGTTGTTTAATTGAGGGACTAGAGAAAAGAAGAATAACATACTGTACTCACTGCTTATTGGAATGTCACGTAAGCGTTTCTAGATCATTTTGGGTAAATTTACATGCAGTGTGAAGATACGAGCATAATAAAGATCGCTAGCATTAGCATGCTAACACAACAATGTTGTTTTGGTTTCATGCTGGTGGTCAAGGGCGACATCTGCTGGATCAAGCAGCTGAATGTTGCGAGGTACAAATGATGTAATGGCTCTTTTAGTCCTCATCCTGGGCTTTCTGTACCTGCACCCGGATGTCAAGAGATCATACTCAGACCAAAGGGGGTGCAGAGGGTCCGCTGTAATCTTGTTGGATTGTTGGAAATGCTGCACATTTGCTTCCCAGTTATCTTGCTGCCTTGAGTTAAATCAAACATGCACCAGAAATAAGAAATTCAAGAGAAGAGACTATGCTGGTAATAAAACCATTATGTGCATGTTTCTAATTTGCAGAGGGAGGGAAAAACAAAGACCCTCATTAAAACTTCGATGTGATTTATTTCACTCCCTCCATTAGAGTTAGTTTTTTCACTTTTTGTTCAGATGAGGAGAAATGTAGCTGAGCAATGACTGCCTATGAATTAAACGTTTCACTCGTAAGAGATCTGATTAAACTTGCAGGAGAAGGAAATCACATTAAAATGGACCACCTGCTTTTGAGGCTGTGATTGGTTAGTGTTTAGAAAACTGCTAACTTCCACAAAGTCTGTGAGTACGCCACATCCATCAGCATCGTGCACCGCGGTGCTGTTCACTGCCACTCTAGCCAGTCATTGTTTTTCCACAGTGAACGCCGCGATCTGTCACCAGAGTGTGGCAACAGCTCCACTTCCAAATACGCTACTAGTCTATTTTCAACAGAGCACGCCGCAGGCATGCGTCAGGCTGAACAGAGTAGACCGACCTGGACAGGAAACGCACAGAGCGTCTGGTCAATTTCAAAATAAAACACAACATCCAGACTCCTGATCGTATTTTCCATCACTTTCTCAACATAACGTCATAACAGGCACTGAATGCAAAGCAACATGTTGTTAGCACGTTGCTCTCTTTGTTCTCCTGGGATGTGTGTACAGCTGCTAACGGCTGCGCTCTGCTGCTTTCTGGCTTCCGACAGTGACCCAGTGGGGCAGGGCGTACTGTCCGACGGAGTAAAACCAGAACAGAACACAGACTATTTCTGAATAGCTTACTTTCAAAAAGAGCTAAAACAAGAATTAAATTCCATTTGGAAATCGGTATTGTTGCAATACAACATTGAACAACAATGCCTGGCTCTGCAGAACCAGCCTGCTAATTGTGGAAATTGGCAATAACAGTTGGCCTGGCATGAACTAAAGCGGACCCTCATTGGTCTAACATTAAGTTCTGGACAGTAGCAGAACCGATGTGGCCAAAAAGCCAAAACAACGAGCTACGAGAAGCTAAATTACCTTTCTTAAAATTTGATGAGAGTCAAAATTCACAATCATTTAGTGAGTTGATCAAACACGTTTTTTAAGCTTTAAAGGTTGAAATGAGGCTTGGAAGATGTTCTTAAAATCTGGAGGATTTTCAAAAAGAGAAAATTGAGAATAAGTAAAGAAATAAAACTGTAAATTCTGCCATAAATAACATTTAGATTATTTAATTGACTGACCATATCTGAGGTCAAACTGAAGGTCGGTGTCAGACCTTTCTACGCTCTGAGGCACACATGCTGCACACATTAAAAACTCTTTTAATATTAAGGTCGTAAAACGAGTTTGAGACGGAAACTTGAGGAATGGAAACTTCAGGTTTCACTTAATTCTAACCCTGTGAGCCAACACGACTTGGAAAATCTGGGGAAACATTAAACAATTTGATCTTATGTCTAAAAATTGTCAAATTAAATAACTAGTGGACATAAAAGTTACTGACTTCTGGCTCTGAACATTTCATGAAATGTTTTTAGCTGTCAGGAACGCAGACGTCCTGCTTTAAAGTCTGCCGTTTAAAGCATTATTACACGGTGAATCTTATTTTATATGTGTTCTGTTCAGTTGGAGTTTCGTCTGGAGCAGGAGCGGCGTCAGTGCGGCGAGCTGGAGAGGAGCCGCAGGAAGCTGGAGGGTGACAGCAGAGCAACACAGGAGAGTCTGGGACAGATGGAGTGGAGCCGCAGTGGGCTGGAGGAGCTACTCAAGAGGTCAGAGAGGCGCACACACACACAAACACACACTGTAGGAGCCAATTTAGTGTGTGTGTGTGTATGTTTATGTTTATTTATTTACTTAATTTGGACACTAGGAGGTGTTAATTGATCATTTGGTTTAATTTGTCAGGTGGTTGGTTGAGTGTTTATATGTCACAGGTGAACAGGAAACAGGGGCATAAGTGGTGGGAACATACGGTTCTTAACGTAACACAACATAACGCAAGTAGACTATTTAACATAACAGAAGAACGACGACCAACAGTATAATCTCAGAAATAACAACTCATCATATCATCAGCACGGTTTGTCTGCTTCATATGTGACAAAAAACTGCAACATCAGAAAGTAGTTTAATTTTGGACATTTGTTTATTATTTACGAGTCAAGAACTTTCCATACACCTGTGCAAGTGACTAAAAGCAAGATAAGAAATGTTGACATTAGATAGATAGTTACTACACATGCACGCACGCACGCACGCACGCACGCACGCACGCACGCACGCACGCACGCACGCACGCACGCACATACACACACACACAAACACACACACATGCACACACGTTGGTTTTCAAGGTTTAAAGTGTGTGACAAAATAAAGACGTGCAGACTGAACGCAGGTTCTAAAGCATGTGGATAGACTTGTGATGTATAGAATCGTGATTTATAGAGTCATGACTTATAGAATTGTGATGTATAGAATGGTGATTTATAGAATCTTTAAGTATAGAATTGTGACGTTTAGAATCGTGAATATAGAATCGCGACTTATAGAATTGTGATGTATAGAATTTTGTATTATAGAATCGTCACGTATAGAATTATGATGTTTAGAGTCGTGAATTATAGAATCATGACTTATAGAATTGTGATGTATAGAATTTTGTATTATAGAATCGTCACTTATAGAATTATGATATTTAGAATCGTGAATTATAGAATCATGACTTATAGAATTGTGATGTATACAATGGTGATTTATAGAATCGTGACATTTTGAATCGTGACTTAGAATCGTTATTTATTGAATCATGACTTATAAAATTGTGATGTATAGAATTGTGAATTATAGAATTGTGACTTAGAATCGTGATTATAGAATCATGATGTATAGAATTGTGATGTATAGAATGGTGATGTATAGAATGGTGAATTATAGAATCATGACGTATAGAATCATGACATATAGAATCATGATGTATAGAATTGTGACTTATAGAATCGTGATGTATAGGTTTATGATGCGCAGAATTGCAACGTATAGAATCGTGACGTATAGAATCGTGACATATAGAATCGTGACGTGTAGAATCGTGACGTATAGAATCGTCATTTATAAAATCATGATGTATAGAATCGTGACGTATAAAATCGTGATGTATAGGATCATGATGTACAGAATTGCAACGTATAGAATCACGTCCTCATATTTTGTCTTGTTTTCCTTCTTTCTCATCAAACACATGAACCCTTTCCTGACACGTTCCAGGATTTATTTTCATCTGTTTAATCACCATCATCATCAATCTGCAGCGCTCTCTGTGACTTCTAATCTGTCCTGAAGTGATAAAAATAATGAATAGTCGACGTTACTCTGCAGTCACAGATGAGAGTCGACGTTACCCTACAGTCACAGATGAGAGGGAAACACATAAACACGTTCAGACCGTAGGATTAAAGCCGGCTTTAATTTAACTCATAAACTTTTATATCTGCTCGCAAAAAGAAAAGAAGAAGTACAGAGAAAAAGATGAGATTTATTTCACGTTTTCATCCAGCTGGTAGTTACAGCAGAGTCATCATATCTATTCATCCCAGACGCTCTGATGATGTCATCCTCAGAGGGGAGAGCTTTACCTGGGATCACACACACACACACACACACACACACACACACACACACACACACACACACATACACTCTCTCTCATATCTCCATCATGATGTTAATCTTCTCCTTTGGGTGAATGATCTGTTGACCTTGTTTTACAGTTAGCGTTAATAAAATGACTCGCCTTGTTGCTAAGCGACAGTGTTTATAAACAGACTGGACAGGTAAAATATGAAACCTGTCAGTCAGCTTGTCGTGCGTCTCGTCGTTTTTAATGAAACCATTTAAAGAGACAACGCTGCAGAAAATAAATTAAAAACAGGAAGAAGATAAAAACAGAGTTGATTTATTCTTTTCATTTTTATTTTGCACTTGGAGACTGAAGTCAAATTTTCCCAGAATGATGACCACGTGGTGCTCGCATGGCGCATAAAGGAAAAGAAACAAAGCAGAAATTAAAATAAAGTGAAGTTAGAGATTAATGACAAAATTTCAAGAACCGAGCTGAGATGTTGAAAATTAAAAATCTAGATGTCATTTTTATTACCAGTACTTTTCATTATTTACATATTATGTTATCAAATCCCTTAATTTACAAACACCATATTTGGAAGATAAAAGTGTAATAAATACAAATGAAGTGGATTAAAAAAGAAACAAAGAGATCGATCAGCACAGAAGAAGTTAAAGTGAATCTAACGATGGAGGGGCAGGACTCGACTGAGCATGTCACTTTTTCTGTCCGTTCGTAGGACTGGGTTTAAAAAAAATGATTTTCTGATTCTCATATTAATGATCTGATATTGATTCATAAAATCCAAAGATCGATCTTTTAATAGGCTATATATTCACTTTCCCCCCATCCTTTGAAATCAGTTTGTCTTTCGTATTTCTGTGCTGTAGCTCTGCTTCAGGCTGCAGTGGTTTCTCATTGGCCCTTACATGTCAACTTATCGCATATTCGGCCTCTGATTGGTCAACAGACCAACACAAGAGTTAAACAACATGGTTGCCTCTGTGTTAGCCGAGCGAGCTAACTGAAGTTACACTATATTTTATACATACATTAAACATGGTTGATTACATTAATTTAGACTTTCTTTATTGTCATTCAAACTTGTACTTTACAGTGCAGATTTTTATGAGGATAGATTAGGACAGTCACTGAATATACACATAGCCCTCTATGCTATGATTAGTAAGGGCGTTTGATGTAGCTACAGCTACTTTTCCTGCTCCTCTCTCTGCCACCACGGTATATATGACCGAGCACCGCAGCGTAGACACACCAACACACACACTGGAGCGCCAGTTTATGTTGAGATTAAAGTCACTTTTCAGTTTTAGAGTCAGGGTTAAGAAGAATTCTGTTAATACGGGCGTGATACTTTTTCAGATTTTTTATGTGTGGTAAAAGATTCGTCACTAAACTCAGTTGTCATCATGCCTTTGTACGTTCATATTGATTCTGCGACAGCATAATATTGGTGTCCCAGTCTGAATTCACATTCTGGTGTTGCAGAAGCACAGCACAGCAGGAGCTCCACATCCACACACAGACATGCACACACACACACACACACACACAGTGCTCTGAAGACGGTACAGAGTCACTTCATCCCCCACTACGTTTCCTTGGCATTCAGATTGAAGAGAAACGTCACAGAGGCGTAAATATCGCGCCTTGAAACAGCGGTTTGAATGGAGCTCTCATATTAAGAAAAACTTCCTCTTCTGATTTACTGATGTGTTTCCTGAGCTGACTGTTTTTAATTTTCCAGCCATTAAAGGTCACATATTATACAAAATCCACTTCACCATGTTCCTCTAACTCTAATATGTGTCCCTAGTCTGTCTACAAACCCCCCAATGATGAGAAAAGTCCATCCTCTCCGTCTTTTTCCTGCTCCACTTTTCAGAAAATGTGCTCAAACAGGCCGTTTGGAGATTTTCCCTCATGACATCACAAAGGGCAGTAACCCCTCCCCCAGGTGGGTGACACTCCCACAGCTAGGTGTTTGTTCTGCCCTCTGAGTCTGCCCACTCACCGTAAACAATAGGACATGGAGCAAGAAAGCCCGAGACGCCCAAGCCCTTCCAGAGAGGGGGCGTGGTCAGACAGCTCATTTGCATTTAAAGGTACAGACACAGAAACAGCCTGTTCTGAGCAGGGCTGAAATAGAGGGGTTTATAGACATGATCAAATACAGGATCTGAGTGGATTTAGAACAAGAAACTTCACACACATGTTTACTGGGAGCTCTGAGACTTATTTAAACTGGTTGAAGAGGAGGAGAATATGTGACCTTTAAATAAACTCTTCTAAATAAAATCTGTTTCTGTCTGCAGGAAGGACATGGAGATCAGCAGCACAAACTCAAAGCTGGAAGCAGAAGAAGCTCTGAATATGGAACTGCAGAAGAAGAGCAAAGAGATGCAGGTCAGAGCTACATGACATTCAGGTTCAGTATACGTGTGAATGGGAAAACAGTGGGGCGGCTGTGGCTCAGTTGGTGGAGTTGGTCGTCTCTCAGCCGGAAGGTTTGATCCCCAGTTTCTGCAGCATCATGTCCAGTGTGTCCTTGGGGAAGACCCCTAACCCCGATTTGCTCCCGCTGCTTAGTCTCAGTGTGTGCATGTGAATGAATGGATTTGTTACTTCTGATGGTCACCACTACCATCAGTGTGTGAATGTGTAGGTGTGACCTCCGGTGTAAGCGCTTTGAGTACTTAGCAGATGAGAAAAGAAATATGTAAGCTCAAGTCCATTTCCCATTTATGGAGGAAGGTAAGAAAGAAAAAAAGTTTTGATGTCATGAAGTGGAAATTACTCTGGACTCGTCAACTGAGCTGTCTCAGATTGTTTTAAAATGAAATGAGAAATAACTAGCTACAGGAAGAGGCTATGGTGAATCAATTACGTTGTGCTGCAAGGGTCAACACGGCATGTGATTAAAAATTCTTCAGGCATCAGACCTTTAACGCAGTCGGATGAAGGCGTTAACGATGCACTTCTATTGGGATAGTATTTGCTTTTAGAAGGAGATTCCTGAAAAGTCTGTCAGTGAGCTCATCTCTTTCATCCTGACGAGGACTCAGAAACATTCCTGCCTTTCAACAGAGCTGCTGTCTTCTGTTCTGTGATTGGACAAGTCACTTCACAGCTCAGTACCTGTCAGGAGACGTCAACACACAACACCTTCTTCACACTGATAACTATCTGCACGACCGATGCTCGGAGTCTGAGCTGAGCTGTCTAATTCCTCAGCCCTGTGCTTTCTTTAATCGATCAGAGGGTTTTATTGAACATTAAAAACTGTTTAACGTGTTCAGCACTAATTACACTACTTAAAGACCTAGTGCAGTGCCCGTTCAGAATGTGCTTGTTTGTAATGTGTTTGGAGAGAACGTGGCTGGTCAGGATTGGGCAACACACGTTGCCCAATCCTAACCAATCTGTGGTTTCCGCTCTTGTGTTTCCAGTAGATTTTTATTCCATTGTATTCCACAGCAAAACTATTTAAAATGTTTGAGCAACAATATGAGCTCATGTGAACTTCACAACCAGCACTGCACTTCCTTGCTGGTCCACAGCAATACACCCGCCAATTCTGACATCCAACGGACGAAAGGTTGTCTAGACACTTGACTAACAAACATCCAGAGATTCTTGGATTTAAGAGAATGAACTCAAGGTACTGTAAGCTTCACAGGTCGGCGAGGTGATCATTTGGCGTTGGTATTGCATATTCCTCTCAATATGATGACAATGATGTGTGCAGATGTTGAGTTTGTGTGGCGGCTAATGTTGTCATTACGTGCAGAGAGCGTCCATCTGAAGTCTTTCTCAGAGCAAAACTTTTGCGCAGATCCGCCATTTTTATCAGGGGGGGCTCATTGCATTTAAAGAGACACACACACCAAAACAGAGTGTTCTGACAGAGCTGGTTTACAAAGGGTCACAAACCTCCTCTGGTGCTTGATTCATGTTATATTTTGACCAAAGCACAGCACAGATGTTTCATTTAGACCACAGGGGACTGTTTGAAAAGGGGGATAATATATCCCCTTTAAGATGAAATGTCTCATACTCATCACGCAGAGTGATTGAGCAGTGAAGATGATTTAGTGCTTCTTTCACTCCTTGAAAAAAACAACGGGGAGACTTTCACCTGTCGATAAAGGAGCTGCAGAATTATCCTGATCACTTCCAGGTGTATTTCAGGATGTCAATGGTCAAGTTTGATACGCTACTCTCTAGTCTTGAACCACACATTATAAAGAACACCACCAATTTTTGCAGAGCAACTGATCCTGAACAGCGTCTGACAGGTAGGAACACTACTGATAAACGCACCCAAAGAGGGATGGATGTGAAAAAACACAGAAAAAATAATGACAGAGTGAGTGTGCAAACATGATTGACACAACATGTCATGTTTTCACTGGTTCCTGCAGCCTGAAGTTGATTTATGTTTGCTTTCTCTTCACTCAGCACAGTATGAGATAATGTTGCATCGTTGGTGTTTACCTGTTGATGAAAGCTGCAGAGCGATAGTAAAATAAGATGATTGATCACAGCTAACCTGCTGAAGCTGAAATCAATCTGTGTCATATTTTTCAGAGAAACACCTGCAGCTCAGGACGTTACGAGCTCTGCTCATCATGTCCGTGATTCAGATCGCTGGATTGGAGCTCTGATTAATACTTTAACGTGCGTGATTAACACGTGTGTGATTAGACATGCTCAGTTAAAGAGAGGGTGGGACATGTGCTCTCAGGCCGCCCTCACCAACAATCCAGAGGAACGTGCAGGACCTGAGAGCGCAGGAGCTCCCAGGAAAATACGTGGCAGAGAGCGCCATGCAGTATCCAATTATACTTCTTAGAGTTGTTTTATTCAAATGATTCACCATATAAACTTTGACAGAGTTATCAGGGAGTGTCTTTATTTACTGAAATCATAAAATCCTTCACAGTGACACACTGAACATCTGAGTCCATGCTGTGCTGCTGGCAGAGTTTCTGCACAGGGAAAATTCACCACAGCGATGACTGCAAACAACCAGCGATGATTTCCATTTAACATTTCTCTCCAGGATCATCTTGTGTTTGTCATATTGGTATCATTTAGATGATGATAAGACTGTATCATGTTCTGTTTCTGATAAGATCCGTGTTTCCTCTTGTGTTGAGTCTGTCGGTGAAATTTATCTGGAGACTCTTCCTGTTCCTCTTTGTGTGTGGTACAGATTGAATCAGTCCGGTCTGAGAGCTTCACTCGATGACACCGCTGCGTGTTCAGATGACATTTTCTGTTTGGGTTCTCTGGGTGAAGCTTCTTCTTCACCCAGAGGTTTGTAAAGAGGAACAGATCGACGTCTTTGTGCCTCATTCCAGGAGTGAAAAGTGATCCGAGTGTCTCTGAGGGGTGGGCATGTTTTTCATGTTTACTGTATCTCTGACATTATCTCACAATAAGGCCTTTATACATGAAGCTCCTCCCACTGATGGACGAGCAGCACAGCTGATTCTTCTGTTGCCCACGCTCGTCTGGTTCTGACGTCACGGCCACATGATCACGTCCACAAACTGGAGAGGAATAAAAAGAGACATCTGTGTCCGTCCATCTTTAATTATGAAGCCCCGCCCCCTCCCTCTTTGCAGCTGGAAGGGAGTGTGACGGGGTCATATCTTAGTAGTCCTGGTTTCTGACAGCTCTATCCTTTCAGTGGTTTTACGACGTGTCATAAAGCGGGGATTCTCGGCTTCAGGGCTGCAAGGGGTTATCTCACTCTTAGTGAAGCCCTGCAGTCTGTTGTGTTTGTACCAGATGTTTCAGATTGAGCCTCAGTGCTGAAGTCTAACGTTCAGGTGACGCTTCCCACATTCCCTCGATTACCTTTAATGTTATTATACCATATAACCTGTTGCGCACATGAACTCCTGTAAACTTTTAATGTATCAGGACTGCCCCTGAAATCCTCCTGATCTGGTTGTTCACACATGCTCCTCACAGCAGGAGACTATCCCTTTCAGACAGGAGGGGGGAGCAGGGGGTCACCTGAGGCAAGACATGAGGTGAACAGAACAATGAGGAAGTGGTGGCCGAAGCAACATTCGCAGGAAACAAACGTCACCACCCGCTCCCACTCGCTCCAGGTGAATTCTCCTGATTATATCCTGCTGCGTTCTCACATCAGCTCACTCTGATTTTCTGCAGAATAAATATGAGGAGGCTGGAGGAGAAACTCCGGGTGAAGAGAGAAACATTCAGTCCATACCTGAGCCAAATTTTAAGCCCACTCTTATAAGAACAGAGGGTGTCGGCCTCCCTGACCCAGACTGGTAGATGACTCCAAAGGAGAGGGGCCTGATAACTGAAGGCTCTACCTTCCATCTATATGGTGTTGCACAGGAGTAATGTGGTCTCTTCTCCGAGTTCTAGTCAGAACACGAGCATTTTGGACCGGCTGAAGTCTGTAGAGACTCACGAGGGTAGCCTGATAAAATAAAGAAGTAACACATGCAGGGATTAGTTTCTCTGTATCGTTTGATTTTTGGGATATTGTCATGGTGATTTATGTGGGAGTTGCATTTTTTAAAACAGCTGTTTACATCAGAACACAGCAATCTGTGAGGAAACTTTTTTTGGGATTTGGCAACAGATCCATGATGTGAAACAAATGTTTTGTGATGATAAAAAAAATAAATGAGGGGCCGCATTCTGCTGCATGGTCACGAGTAGCCGTGCACATATCTGCACCTCTGAGGTATGATGTGCACCTGTGCAGGTTCTTAAATCCTTCATGTGAACTGCTTCATCACAAAGAGTTAATTGAATGCAGCGCTCCGACCGGGCCAACAGCAACTGTCATCAGTCAGCCAATCAAACATCAGCACTTTCACTGCTGGAATCGTCTGAAGGAGTTGAGCAGAACAAAGCAGGTTTAAAGGCAGAGCATGTGTGGACAGTATGGTGGGCTGACATCAGCAGGGGGTCTGCTGCAGAGAAGGGGGGGGGGGGGTTAACTGCCCACGCCGCTGGATCTCTCCTTAGAGAGGAGACGTCAGCGCCACAGCTGAATGTAATCTAAGGACAATTATTGTGTTTCAGAGAGCAGCGGAAAAAGGGAAAGTTTAAGCACAAACAATTAAAGAGATCAAATCCTGAAACCATCCGCACAAATCACCGGCTTACGTTCTTGTTTCCACACTCGAGTCCAGGAGAAAGCAGAGAAGATGGCTCTAATAACTCTAAAGAACACAAAATTAATATATAAACTCGCTCTACTCAAACCGTCCGTGAAGGCCGTCTCAAACATCTTTACACCGTTTGTTTTCTACAATTAAATTAGAGCCACAACATTTATTCTGAGGCTGCTTTGAGGTTTTTTTTGTTTTTTTTTCTGGAATTTAACAAGAACCAGATCTGAGAGAGACAGAGAAGGGCCGTGCATGCACGAGGGGGTGTGGATAGTGAAATGCCGGAGGGGATCAGCAGTGGATGTGTGTGTTTGAGCTTGAGTGAGTGTGTGTGTGTGTGTGTGTGTGGGACAGTCAGTCAGTCAGTCAGTCAGTTGGGCTGCTGCTGCCTCACCATGGCTGTTCTCTCTGCAGATGTCCTGCGCTGGCATGTGAGTTTTAAAGTCACTTTTCTGTCCTTGTTTGGTAACTTCTGAAATCATGTAGTCTAAACCTGTTTAATGATGTCTTCATGTGGTACTTTTTATCTTTAAGTCATGATACGTCTGACCTCGCTTTTGGGACATTTTTAAGAGGCTACAACAAACTCTCTGACAGTGCAGGATAACTGCCTTTGCATGCATGTTGAGTTTAGCTTTAAAAGACGAAAGTTTGTGGTGTGTGTGTGTGTGTGTGTGCTGTGCAGCCAGTGTGTATGTGAGCTGTAGGTTTCGTTGCGGTGATCGGCCTCAGGCATCATTCCATGTCAGACACACTTCCTGACACCGAGACACAGATAGACACTGCAGATAACGTTGCAGAACATGACACAACTTGGAAAGATGCGGCCGTGTCGGGAAACCAGCAATAACTTTTTACGATCCGAACACAGCGAGGGGTTTGGCTCGAGATCAGTGCAGAGCAATGTTGCTGCGGGTGATTTATTCTGATTGTTTTGGCTTGTGGAGGATAGTTCGATGAAATAATGTTTGGAACGTGTACTGATGCTGAGAGCGCACTTTTTACTGACAGAAGCAACAACGCAGAAATGATCCTCAACATGTAAAAACAGCGTGTTGATCAGGAGAGGGAAAATGGATAATAAAATGTATAATATTTGCACTACTGAACTGTAGAAGTTAGTCTCAATGGGCTTTGATGTCGTGTTTCCATTTGTTTTATTCATAAAATGACAGAAACAACATTCTCATAAAATTTTAAGTTAATAAAAATAGTGATGTCATCATGGCATGAACCATTTCTCAACCGTTACAGTTTGTCAAATGTGCTGAATGTGCTTTTAAAGTGTGATTAAAGCGCTCTCTCCTCACACACAAAGAGGATATCACGTCTGCTGGACGTCTCACGCTCTCACAGAGGAAATCAATAAGTCAGTGACTTTATGTGCACCTGGGCCTTTTATACCTGTGCATTGGCCACATGACGATGCCCCAGTGGGTCAGTCCCCACACGGATGGAAGATGAAACTATGTGGAGAGAAAGTCAACATTTTCCTCAGACATCGTCATGCCATTTTTCTCTGCAGTCAACGTCACAGGATGGCGTCATCAACGGAGACTTGATGAAGACTAAGCTTTCTGTTGCATAACAAAAATCTGAAGCTTTATTAGCTGTGTTATCGATTTAAGGCGGATTGTACAAAGAAACGCTCCTGAGGCCGGACTTGTTGCGCCCCAAAATGCTCCAACTTTAAATCCCATTTAATACGACATGCAGCACGATATGAGGATGTCTTTAAAGGATGATGTAAAATACTAAAGTCTTAGCTTTCTGCAGCAAAACGTTTATTTAAATTATTATTTTTATTTTAGACTGTTTAAAACAGAAAATACAAACAGGGATCTCCTGAAGAAACCTGTGAGAGGATCAAACACTCATTATAACTCGTATAAAGATGCTAACACAGCTGTTAATTATTCCTATCACGGTTTAAAGATGTGTTAAAACATGAAATATCGTTACTTGCCCTTTAAGCTGTTAAGAAATGAGCAGCTTTACTCAGATTCCTCTTTTCTATCTAAAATGTGTAACACAGACTCGGGGTGTAAAAACAACACCGTAAGTCAAACTGCCAGCCGGACTGTAAAACCACGAGAAAACAAAAACATAACACAAATTCCTGGACGGTCCTGAAAAAGGGCAGCGCTGTGTTCTGATGTGTGTGTGTGTATGTGAGCAGACGGACCCGGCTCCGGGTCAGGATACAGATAATGATGGTGACTACACACATTCTTGCTCTAAATTGCTACCTGAGGAAAAAAAGCCTGAGGCGTGCCAAATCCCCAGAGAAAGCAGAGAGACGGCCTCACCACACACCAGAGCCGCCCTGAAATAGCAAACAGTGTGTGAGCTGACGCCCCATTTGTTCTCTGTCAGGATGATATAAGCTCTGTGAAAGCAGAGGGAAACGGCTTTACTTCACATATCACACTCATATTTTATACTTCATTGAAAACAGGCTGTATTTTCTGTAGCTAAATTTTTTTTTTATCTCTTCAGGCTCGAATCGAGGAGTTGGAGGAGGAGCTGGAGGCCGAGCGAGGCATGAGAGCAAAGGTCAGTACACAACTATCGACAATGTGAATCTGTGAAAACCTGCAGTTCCTCCAGTGTCCACCAGAGTCTGTCTCCTGCAGTGAGTCAGTCACCATAGAGCCCCATGTTAAAATGTCCAACTTTACAGCTGCAGTTCCTCCAGTGTCCACTAGAGTCTGTCTCCTGCAGTGAGTCAGTCCTCATAGAGCCCCATGTTAAAATGTCCAACTTTACAGCTGCAGTTCCTCCAGTGTCCACTAGAGTCTGTCTCCTGCAGTGAGTCAGTCCTCATAGAGCCCCATGTTAAAATAAAACATGTTTATAGCCTGGTACAAAACCAGTGTGAGTCTTCTTATCTCATATCTCACCTGTTTACATCATATTAAGGTTTACAGGGATGTAGAATTAGGGGGTGTGGCCTCTTTGAGTGACAGGTGGGAGCTGCTAGCGGTCTGCTAGGTGTCACCTAAGCTAATTCAGTCCCAGACCTCTAACTTCTGAGCCGTGTGTGTGCTGTTGGAGCCTTTTGGAGATTTGTTCATATAAGTATCAGAATAATAATCTGTCTCTCTGTGAGCTTTATTGGACTAACAGACCGTCGGAGCTCCACTTTCTAAATCCAGTCACATCATAGAACTTTATGTTCAGGGCTCGACATTATAACTGGCCCACTAACCCGGATGAATGATTGAAAGACTCCACAGCCCGCACTGGACTGTTGTCCTGTGATGCCGGTGTTTCAGTGATTCTTGTGAGATTATCTATTTTTACTGCTACAGCATCAACGTTTCATAAGCGCCTATGTGCGTGTGTCATAGTTAAACGGCAGCCGCTTGGTTGGCTCAGTTAGTGAGCAGGCGTCCTGTGTACAGAGGCTATCATCCTTGCAGATCGTGGAAGGTAAAATCACTCTTGACACCTGACACTACCAGAAAGATCTCACAACATCATCTTTGGAAACATCAGATAATGGGACCTTTGCTGATCCGCAGTGAGGGAGTCAATCCCGAAATCGGACTAGATTATCTTGTAGTGTGTACCACACTTTAGTGTTTGCTAAGCCCTCATTTCCTTCTGGTGTCTAAATATGGTCATTTCTGGCTCTAGAAAACCAACATGGCAATAGCCAAAACACTTAGGGAGTCATTCCAGCGGCTCCATGCTCTTCATTTTTACAGTCTGTGTTTCAGAGCTGTTTTTAAGAAATGTTTAAAAGAGAGAGAAAATAAGCAAAGAAAGATTTCTGATGTTTTCTGCGGCCGGTGGGGTACATGTGTTGTTGCTCCTCCTCTGGTCACCTCAAACTATCTACACCTGTGATAATAAACTCAGGGAGGGGGGACCTTGTGTTTCTGATTAACATACAGGGCAACCCCAGATGCGCTCAGGGACCCCAACATCCTTTTTCCGCTAAGTAACATCTTATTTTTCACAATCTATCTCTCAGAGCACCTTCTGCTTCCAGTAATCCACTTTACTTCTCCTTAAAGCAAACAGGAAGAAGGTCACACCGCAGCAGCGTTACCAAACCTCTACAATCTCGTGCAAAAAAACGATTGGAACCAGCAGCCTGGTTCAGAGAAAGCTCGTCTCTGCAGAGGTGGCCACTTGAAGTGCTTGTTGTTTTAAACAAGACGCTCTTAAACCCTGTGTGTGTTTAAGCCTCAGATCCTGGGCGCCCCTCTCAGACCCGCCTGTAGATCCCACCTTGCAGTATTTTTCAGGAGGAAAAGGCAGAAATGCAGCGCTCCATATTTCACCCTGAATGTTGAGCAAAGTGACAGCAGGCCCTGAAGGCGTGTTTTGAACACTTCTCTCCTCCCTGGGTGGTATTCCTAATGGCACTTTCTACCCCCGACCCCCCTTCACTCTCCAGGCTGCAGGGTGGGGGTGTGGGGGGGGGGTCGGGCAAGCAGAGACCTGCAGGTCTTTATCTCAGATACAACATACCTGAGCAGACAGGCTCTCTTTGTTCGACTCTGCTCCTCAGGTCGTTCTGAGCAGATACAATCTGCAGATAGAAGCTGACAGACGAAGATATTTTCCAAAAGATCTTCTCTAAACTGGAATGCCAACCGCTCACACACACACACACACACACACACACACACACACACGCGTGTACAGTGAAGGGATTTCAGAAACACACACATCAAAAGAACCACTCAGCCAGTATCTAATGTTTTAGGCAAACGACATCAATGGAACGTCTTAATTTAAATTATGGTCTCTCAGGACAGCTGTGGACAAACGCTGCGTCTGTCTCTACATTGTTTGTCTGCTTCCGGTTTAATTCGAGCTGCATCCACCGGTGTTACAAATTGAAGCCGATGCTGAAGTGTCGAAAATCCTGCAGTTATTCACAATAAGGCGTGTAGCTGACCTGATTGACAGGCGGGCGCGGTGTAACGGTTTGACGGTTGACTGAAAGTTAGGGTGAGACAGCATTTCCAGCATGGAGACCGCGATCAATGGGACTCCAACGCCCCCTGCAGGAACAGACGGATGACGTCACTTGTGCTTCAAAGATTCATATTTACAGTCTGTGGCTAAATTCCCCTTGGAGCATGATGGGAAATAATCTCAACAGGAATAATGTTGTAGTTGTATAAAGAGTAACCCTGCAAATGATCCAGTTTTTGTAAGGAGTCTGTAAATAAAGAAGTCAGATTGCCTCGTGAAAAGTCACTTCACGTCTTCTAATTTATGCCTGGCTTTAAGCCACGCAACTATAGTTACCGTTTTCAGACGGCTTCTTTCACAAAAGTGCCGAAACTAAGCTCAGCCGTCATCACGCCTTTGTACGTTCATGTTGATTCTGCGACGGTGTAATATCGGTGTCTCAGTCTGTGTTTCTACGTTATAGAAGAACGACACAGCGGGAGCTGGGGGGGGGGATCCCTTCGTCCCGACATCCGACATTCAGATTGAAGGAGAAACGTCACAGGGGCGTAATTGTCACGGCTTGAAACGGCGCTCTGTGTAGGGCAAGAGAGGCCATGAAGAAATGCTGGTTAGTGGATAAGTCAGGTTGCCGTTTGAAACCTTTCTATGTCACAGATCGCCTCGTTTCCATTAACGTTCTCTAGGAGCTCTGACCCCGTTAGTGTGTTAGCATGTGACCCGTGAGTGAGTGGGGTTAGGTGGTGCTCATCCTCAGGAGCTGTTGACTCAGACAGAGGAGTGGAGGGGAGCGATGAGTGAGTCCAGACACACACACACACACACACACACACACACACGCACACACACACACACACACACACACACATAGGGCGGGGCTGGGGGGTTAAAGAGGAGGCCCCCGGTGAGTGTCGTCTGTTTTCTCTCGATCTGCCTGAGGTGTGTTTGTGGCTCGTTGGACTTCTCACAGATTGAAAGCAGCCGTAAAACATCGAGTAAAAACACAACTCTGTGTCTGTGTGTGTGTGTGTGTGTGTGCTTAATAAACTCTCTCCATGTGTGCTGAGCGTGAGAAGAGTTTATTATTCATGCGTTAACATCTATGTATTTCACTTGTTTTGCATCTTGTGTTTTTTTATGGTTCAAGTTTACCACTTTTATGACATTTCTTATTTCACGCTTATTACATTTTATTACTCGAGTGAAGCCAGCTACATTGATTTCTTTTCCAATATTTGATTTCCATTTCGAGCTTTATTTTAGCACAGAGTGATACGAGCCTGTGGAGGCTGTCCCAGCAGACCTTCAGATGTTACTCTGATGTGACTGCAGGAGAATGTTTTATCTGAGTTACTTAAAGCTGTGATTCACCAAGTGAGGGTCGCAGCGTCTTGGTAGGACATGAAACCGACTGCAGGTGAGCAACATGACGTCACCTACAAAGTGTGTGAACACAAAACGCTGAATGTTTCTCTCTTCAGCCGGAGTTTCTCCTGCAGCCTCCTCGTATTTATTCTGCAGAAAGTCAGAGTGAGCTGATGTGAGAACGCAGTGGGATATAATCAGGAGAATTCACCTGGAGTGAGTGGGAGGGGGTGGTGACGTTTATTCCCTGTGATCGCTGCACGACCACAGACTGTCTGCACGCCACCTCTACCATCTCTGTGCTCTCATGAACCTGCTGCATTATGTTTCCTGTTCTCCAGTATGTTCTTCTCCACTCTTTAGTTCAGATTGAGATTCTGTTCAACTACACGTAGCATTGATAGAAAGACAAATATTCTCATTATAGCGTCATACAGAGGACTCTGTTGCTGCATCCCCCCCCGTCTTACAGGGATTTTTTTCATGTACCATGTATGTGGTACAAAAAACTCAGTTGATTTCCACAATTTCAGGAAATTTAAAAAAAAATATTCATTAGTTTTCCACCATTTTATTTACTGTACTTTGTACTATGGTAAAGTTGGTGTTGCAAGTGCTTGAGATCAGTCTTGGTTTCAATACCGATCTTGAGACTAAGTTTTAAAGGTCTCGGTCTCAGAATCAAAAGCATTTTTATTCAGTCTTGTCTTGGTCTTGGACTGGGCGGACTTTGGATTTTTATTCAAGACCGGTCAAGGCCATCACTGATTGCCTATTTTTCCAGGTCAACACCTTTTCTAAAACATGTTAGACTGGTTAGATTTTTCCCCCGGATTCGGCTGCAAACTTCCCGGTGTTACGGTCTAAATGAGTGACACGCCCCCTAAACACAAGATGATGATTTTTCATTGATATATATGATGGTCTCCGGCTCGCCCTGCCTTGGTGTTGTTCTTGTCTCTGTCTCCTAGCACTCTGGTGTCGGGTAGGTCTTGGTCTCAGTTACTGTGATCTTGACTACAACACTAGGTAAAGTGACTTCAAAGCGCCTCGTCTTCTCTCTCTATACTTCGTGGTTAAGCCTTGTTAAAGTGAGTTTGTTAGCTGACCTCAGTGAGTGAAAGCGTCTCGATGAGCCGCTAACAGCCCAGCTCACTCGTCTGTCAGGTGTGCGGTGTCTGAGCGCTGCGTGTTGGATGACTCGCTCAGGAAACACACAGATCATATTTGGACTGTGTGTGTGACAGCCGCTGACCTCTGTGTGCTCCTCTCTGATTGGTTACCAGCTTCTGTCTGACCTCTGACCCCAGCAGAGGTCTCTTCCCCCTGTGTGCTGTCAGTCACAGAGGCCTCCTGTGGTGTTTGAACATCCTGTAGAGCTGCTCCAGAACAGATCGAGGCTTCTTCTGTTGAACCTGAGTGGATTTATGAACTTTCGTTCACTCCTCAGTGGAGGGATGTCACAATACCACAGATTTCAACTTAAATACAAGGATATTAAATAATATCGACACATGTTTCAAGACCACAGCGCTAAAAAGAGAAGTCCTGGGTACCCTATGTTTGGACATTTCTTTGTTTTTATCACCAAAGGTTACAGGTGACCTCCTGCACGATGTCTAAATGACACAAATAGATAACAATATGAGCAAACAGCGTCTCCTCCTCTGCTCTGTGAGAGACATAAACTTAATTTTGGCATCTTAACGAGAAACTAAAATATCATGTTGTTGTGAAACGGTGAATGTGAGTCGACCACCGCTGCTGCTCTCTCTCTCTCTCTCTCTCTCTCTCTCTCTCTCTCTCTCTCTCTCTCTCTCTCTGAAGATCTGATGTTTTTTGTAGAGCCATGATACTTATCAACAACGTGCCCCAGGTGGGCGACCCCCGACACAAAGTCGCTCTCTTTGGATCAGGAGAGCTTTTCACATGACTCCATTTAGAGGATGAATTATGATCGTATATTTCACTTCAACATGACAGAAAACACGGCGATTTATCCCGAGACACTGGACAGATATAGGAATCATTGAAATAATTGAATATGAATTTCTCTGAAAGTTTAAAATCATGTCAGCTCTGTTTCGTCTCTGGTAGGTCGAGAAGCAGAGAGCTGATCTGACCAGAGAGCTGGACGACCTCACAGACCGCCTGGAGGAAGTGGGAGGAGTCACAGCCTCGCAGGTCAACTATAACATACACAAACTGACACACACACACTGTAAAATCAGCAGTTTGTTTTGGTTTCGTGCTGGTGCTGAAGGCTGACATTCTTCCTTTAAGAAAACTATCAATAAGCCGTTAACAGCCAATGTTTGAGGTAAGACGGGGGGTCGAGCACGACCACCGCGCAGCCTTAAATCCAGACGTTAACCTCCAGCGTGTGTGTGTGATGAGCAGATGGAGGTGAACAAGAAGCGAGAGGCCGAGATGCAGCGTCTGAGACGAGACCTGGAGGAGACCTCGCTGCAGTCCGATGCTCTCGCCTTGTCTCTGAGGAAACGTCACGGAGACGCCATGTCGGAGCTGAGCGAGCAGTGTGAGGCTCTGCAGAGGGTCCGAGCCAAGCTGGAGAAGGAGAAGCAGAACCTGAGAATGGAGGTGGACGAGCTGTCCGCTTCTCTGGACAGTATGCAGAAAGCGAAGGTCTGGGAGACGTCGATGTTTTATTTAAAATAAGTCAGTAATCTCAGAGTGTGACAGAACTTGTGTGTGTGTGTGTGTGTGTGTGTGTGTGTGTGTGTGTGTGCACTGCAGACGTCCTCAGACTCTCAGGTGAAGAAGCTGGAGGAGCTGCTGTCAGACGCACACAGGAGAGGAGACGACCTGCAGAGGGCGCTCACTGAGCTCAGTGTGGCCAAAAACAGACTCACAGGTACTCTTCACCTGTTCTGTTTTACCTAAATGATGTGCATGTTTCTAACTGACAATCTATCTCAGGTTATCTCACATGAGTATTTTTAGACTTGTGACTCATCTTTGGTGTTAATGAAGAAATTCAGCAGTGTGACTCTTGTGTCGTCTCTTAACTGCAACAGTCAAAGATAAGACGGGAATAAAGTGGACGATGCATCGTTTACAGTGTTCCGTCTGTGCTACTTCAAATCTTTCTCAGTCAGACACACGACATGATCCACATCTTCTGCTGCAGCCTCACAGAGATAACCGCGTTAACCAGACAAAGCATCGTACTGTCTGCTCGTTTCTTTGTGTTTTGTCATGTTGCTGCGGCGTGCAGATAATCAGTGTTGTCGCTGTGTTTCCTATCAGCTGATAACGCAGACGTGGGTCGACAGATGGAGGAGGCCGAGAGCCGAGCGAGTCAGCTGAGCCGCTCCAAAACTCAGCTCCAGAACCAGCTGGAGGACCTGAAGAAGCAGCTGGACGAGGAGAGCAAGGTCGGCGTGTGTTCCTGTGTCTCTATAACGACCATGAAAATAAAATATGTCTTTGTATTTTCACACACGCCTCTTTGTGTTGTGACTTTTCAGTGTAAGCAGGGAGTGAGCAGCAGTCTGAGCTCGGTGCGGCAGGAGTGCGAGGTGCTGAAGGAGCAGCTGGAGGAGGAGCAGGAGAGCAAACAGGAGCTGCAGCGACTCGTCTCCAAACTGAACAGCGAGGTGACGCTCTGGAGGACCAAACACGAGTCTGACTGCATCCAGCACGCCGACGAGCTGGAGGACACCAAGTAAGAAGACACGCTCGGACCCATCAGCTACATGTGACGCAGTGTGTTTTTCTCATTGGTCTGAACAATGTGTGTGTGTGTCACAGGAAGAAGATGGCGGCTCGGCTGCAGGAGGCCGAGGAGGCGGTGGAGGCTACTCAGGCTAAATGTTCATCGCTGGAGAAGACCAAACAGAGGCTGCAGGGGGAGGTGGAGGAGCTGTGCATTGACCTGGAGAAGGTATATCAGCAGACACGATCGAGCTGCAGGGCTGTGAACTTCTCGGTTACTTTTTATACTATCCTTTAGTAAGATGATATGAGTAGTGTGTGTCGTCTGTCCCAGGCGAGCGGCTGCGGTCAGACTCTGGATAAGAAGCAGCGCGTCCTGGAGAAGCAGCTCGGGGACTGGAAGCAGAAGTGTGAGGAGCTGGTGGCCGAGGTGGAGGGGTGTCAGAAGGAGAGCAGGCAGCACGCCGGAGAGCTCTTCAAACTGAAGACGGCTCACGAGGAGTCTCTGGAGCAGATGGAGGCGCTACGCAGGGAGAACAAGGTTTACCAGGGTACGAGAGGTCACCTGTGACGGGTGTATTCTTAAAAGCTGCTGATGTATCCAGAAGGTTTCTACACAATATGTTTGTATCACAGAATCACAATCTGAACTAAAGAGTGGAGAAGAACATCCTGGAGAACAGGAAACATAATGCAGCAGGTTCATTAGAGCACGGAGATGGTAGAGGTGGCGTGCAGACAGTCTGTGGTCGTGCAGCGATCACAGGGAATAAACGTCACCACCCCCTCCCACTCGCTCCAGGTGAATTCTCCTGATTATATCCTGCTGCGTTCTCACATCAGCTCACTCTGACTTTCTGCAGAATAAATACGAGGAGTCTGCAGGAGAAACTCCGGCTGAAGAGAAACATTCAGCTGTGTGTGTTCACACGTGACGCTCAACACTTCAGGAGTGTTTGAGGAGTTTAGTGCAGGTGTGAAAGCAGTATTAACAACAAGGAGGGGAAAGTCAGCGTCACAATGTGCAGCAAAGAGATGAAATGTTTTGAGATAGATTTCAACATTTCAACACAGGAAAAGGTTTGTCCACAAACTCAGTTCTGTCGTTTCATCTGCGGTTCTCTTCTTCTCACCAAACAACTAGAAGTGAAATTAAAGGTCGTACCAGGTCTGGCTTAGCTTAGCTTCACTCTCCTTGTCTAGCAGATGTCTGCCTGTCACAATTCCAAAGCTGTGATTGCATTCACCACACTGCAGCTTTGTTCACATTCTTCTCCTTGAAGGCAAAGACACGAAGAACGAAGCCTGCACATTAAGCTCGACAGGCTTTAGGTTTACAGTTAAAATGCAGACATGACAGAGTGATCAATCTACTCGTCTTCAGCACCAAAAGACAAATGAAATCTCCTAATGTGTCTTCTCCTGCTTTGAGAGGCTTGAGACCTTGGTTTAAACAAGACTTCTCTCTGTCTGACAGAGGAGATCACCGACCTGACTGACCAGCTCTCAGACGGAGGGAAGAGTGTGCACGAGCTCCAGAAAGCCAAGAAGAAGATTGAGATGGAGAAAGAGGAGTTACAGGGCTCACTGGAGGAGTCTGAGGCCGCTCTGGAGGTACAGACAACATCAGAGATCAAGAGAGCAATATGCCCTCTGTTAGTGAATCACATTTAATCTGCCTGTCGTCCCCTCGTTCTGCAGGTGGAAGAGACGAAGGTGCTGAGGCTGCAGCTGGAGCTGTCTCAGGCTAAAGGAGATCTGGAGCGCAGACTTCAGGAGAAAGAGGAGGAGGCAGAAGCTGCAAGGTACCTCAGATTCCTCTCAATGCTTCCTTCTACTTCTTTCTCCTGCTACACCAACTTTGTTAACTGTTCTAAAACATGCTTCTGTTTTTCTGCAGCCTGGCGTTTCATTTCCTAATTTTTTCATCACTAGTTGGCTTCTCAAACAAACTCTGATTATTCTTAAACCCTAAATCTCTGTGTTTCATCCTGTCCTTTATCTCCCTTCGTCTCTTCACAGTACTCTTGTCGAAGGTAAGGTGTCTCAGCTACTCTGCTTTTTCTGACTCTGCAGATCCGTATGCACAATGTGACAAATTAATCCTTTCTTCAACATTTCTCTCTCTCCTCCTCTGTCAGGAAAAGCCACCAGAGGGCGCTGGAGTCCCTGCAGGCCAGTCTGGATGTGGAGCTGAAGGGCCGAGCGGAGGGCATGAAGCTGAAGAAGAAGCTGGAGTCTGATATCAACGAGCTGGAGCTGCAGGTCGACCTGCTGACCAAGAACAACGCCGAGCTCAGCAAGAGCAGCAAGAAGATGCAGCAGCAGATCAAGGTCGGACGAGAACAGACGCAGAGGTTGTCTTTAAATACTCTGCTTCTTACTCACACAGTTACTGTCCCCCTGTTTCAGGAGCTGCAGGCTCAGCTGGAGGAGGAGGTACGGAGCCACGAGGAGCACAGGGAGGATCAGGCGGCTGTAGAGCGACGCTGCGGCCTGCTGATCAGCGAGGGGGAGGAGACTCGAGCTGTGCTGGAGAGTGCAGAGAGGGCAAGAAAAGGACTGGAGACCGAGCTGCAGGAGGCCAACGAGAAGTACAGCGACCTCAACAACCAGGTGAGACCTAAGGTCTATTTCCTCTGAAGTCCTGCTGACCCTTCACTTAAAACTAAGACTGATGACTTGATTCCTCTCATTGTTTTTGTGTTTTAGCTGCAGTGTGCTCTGAGTGGGAGGAGGAAGCTGGAGGTGGATCTGCAGACTCTGCAGCAGGAGCACGAGGAGCTGCAGGGAGAGCTGAGAGGGTCCACAGACAAGAGCAAGAAGGCCACCTCTGAGGTAGAACGGACACATTACAGCAGCAGGGATTTCACAATATAATCATAAAGTAAGTGTTTTACATGCATGTTGTGTCTCTTTCAGTTGGCGAGGGTCGGGGAGGAGCTGCGTCTGGAGCAGGAGCATGCGCTCCACCTGGAGCGGGTGAAGAAAGGTCTGGAAGCTCAGATTAAAGACATGAGCGGCCGTCTGGACGAGGCCGAGCAGATGGCACTGAAAGGAGGGAAGAAGATCATCCAGAAACTGGAGGGGAAGGTACCCAGACAAAAACAATGAAGTCACCCGTTAAAAAATCATATCGAGGTGGGCTGTATGGTGGCCCTGAAAGCTCAAAACACTGCAATTTAAAATAATAAAAAACATACATTTTGACAAAGACAGCACATCATTTTGAAAACCCACAAATCAGTAATTAAACCAACCTCCATCAATATACATGTTTCTTTCTCTAAATTAAAATGTACTCGGTCACTGATGAGGAACTAGAGCTGTTAAAGTATTGAATTGGCAGGCCTACATTAAAGAACTGATCAGTGAGATGTGTAGTGACTGAAATGTTAAAGTGACCTTACTACATGATCAGACATTAAGGAAACATGCTATGTTGAAGTGCCGGCTTCTCTGACAACAATGCAGCAGCCAGTATGTCCTCCTTCTAACTTTAGATTCTGGTCCTGAATGCTCTGGATTTGTTTGGACCAGAGAAGGTAGGCGGCACCCCCCACACGGCTGTTTTGGACGCCCCTCGGTTTGCCAGATATGAGAGCAGTTATCAGGTCAAACCAACAGGTGTTGCAGCGATGGAAGCGGGCAAGAGAACTGTTTCAGATAGAAGTGATTGTACCCGACCTAAAAAGCCTCTGCATGTTTCTAATAAGCTCCACGAGCAGAAAAATTGGAGAGAGGTTAGAACGCAGAAAGGTTTACAGATCGATGTAGAGCTGGCTGTTGAAGCTTCAGTGTCCACCACATCAAAACCTGAGTGAGCATGGACTCTAGAGAGGAGGGGGCGGGGGGAGACAGCTCTTTACAATGTTTAGAATGTGGACTGCAGTACCAATTTTAAACACTAGGTGTCAGACTCAAATACCGCTCCTTTAACCAAATGTCTAACACATTATAAAGGGTTATTGGCCCGGCACGTTCCCTCTCCCTCACGGTCAGAGTTTCATGTCTCTGCAGGTGAAGGAGCTGGAGCTGGAGTTGGACTCTGAACAGAAGCGACACGCAGAGACGGTAAAAACGCTGCGTAAGAACGAGCGCCGGCTGAAGGAGCTGCTGTTCCAGTCCGAGGAGGACCAGAAGAACCAGCAGAGGATGCAGGAGCTGGTGGAGCGTCTGCAGAACAAGATGAAGGCCTACAAGAGACAAGTGGAGGAGGCCGTACGTCTCCTCGTTTCCTTACTCATCATAAACACACCTTATGGAAAACACAGGTCCGTTATCACACACACTGCTCTGTTTGTGTCGCAGGAGGAACAAGCCAACATGAACATGGCCAAGTACAGGAAGACGGTCAACGAGCTGGACGACGCTGAGGAGCGAGCGGACATCGCTGAGTCAGCACTCACCAAGATCAGGACCAAGAACAGAGGCAGCTTCGGCAAAGGATACTCCTCTGTAAGAACTTCTGCCCCACTCTTTTTATTTACTTCTAGCGTTCATGCTTCAGCAGTCTGTGTTAGAAAGGATGACTGAAGCGTTTGTGTGGTTTTCTCCTCCTCCAGGGTTACAGCACCCCGTTCTCCGGCCTGGTCAGGTCACCCAGCTCTGTGGGCTCCGAGGGCAGAGGGGAGAAGATCCTCAACGACGACGAGGAGTCCGTCAGCTCCCTCATCCCCGCGTATCTCAACTCCCTGAAGAAGCTCATGGTGGATTAAAACACGGCTGAGGGCTCTGACGGTCCTGCAGATCTTAATCCTGCCTCAGATTAATGCGGAGGACGGAAACAGGAAACACCAGAGGCAGAAACTGCAGCTTCATTCAGGTCATAAACAAACTGTTTCATCTGTCTGTGTGTGATGTACATGCACACAGAAAGCATCTACTTTGTACTCATTCCTTTTTACTCTTTATGTACTGTATGTCTGCAGGAGGTGTTCACACAGAAAGGGACGCATTTATAGTCTTACATTATGAGCACAAGCTTGGTGTTGTTTGGGTGCTTTGTCGATTAAAAACAACAGATGAGTCAGAAACTAAAGGGGCTGATTTTCATTTCATCTTGGGGGGGAATGTGTCTGGATTAACTTTAAGTTTCTAGTGGCTGAAATCTGGTGCTTAAATCAAACAGATGTTGCTGTGATTTATTAGAAATAAAGCGTTTTAAAGGACGCTGAAATAATTACATCATGAGGCAGAGTTTTTACAGAAAAGTCTGAATTCTTTTCTAATGAATGAGAAAATGTGAAAAGAGTTTGCATTGACTTCATTATCCCATTATTATTACAAGACTTCCTGTGTTCGCTGATTCCTGATGTTCTCATGGAGATAATAAGATAAATACAATTTGAATATAAGAAGATACATTTCAGCTCTAAATAATCGAACATGTTGCAGTAATGGCTGCAGATATCATGTGAACAGACGGGAGAGGTTTGTAGAGGGTGTCCATTAATGACCCGAAGTTAATAAACCACTTAAGGCCGTGACACACCGAGGAGATTGTCCGCACTCGGCCCGAGTTGTACCGTCGGTTAGTGATGGTTGCACTGGTTTTTGCTGTGTGTCCCGCTCCATCGCTACCTGCCGGCCCCCGTCTGACCTTTTTTTAAGCCAATACGACATGTTGAATCGGCGTCAGTCAGTGTGGTTGGTGAGAGGAGTCACTCTGATTGGCTGTTCAACTAAGCGAATCAGTGCACGAGAAGAAAAACGGAAGTGACCAAAGCAAGTTAAAGACTACAGTCAAGAGGCACCTTTTTAATCAGACATTATTCTGCTATAATACGAGTGGTGAGTGACAGCGGTGTGAAAATGGTCTTCTATCTCTATCGTCTATAAAAACAACGGACTACCACCACCTACTGGGATGGAGAGTTATTTCTGCATGCTCAGAACGTACGTGGTGGTTGGCCGTCGGCTGTAGTCTTTGCGGTGTGTTCTAGTGCAACTTTTGGGCCAAGAAGGGGGGTGACGTGGGGTGACGCCACAGTCAGCCGTCGTCGCCACTAGTTCTTTGCCTTCCGCTTGGTGTGTCAGGGCCTTTATGATCAATTAGTTCTAGGATACAAAGTGCAGCCAGTCATCAGGTTTTTAAAGGTTGATGATAATAAAAAATGCAGGCGTGCCTCACATATTTAATTAAAGTGTATCAGTGTGAACTTTTAACCACGTCTTTATTTTCTCCATCTAAACGTGTAACCAGGCGTCTGGTCGAATCATTGATGTTGAATGTGAAAAGGTTTTTTTTTTCTTTGCCAATAAAGTTTGACATTTGTTATGTTTGTCACCTCTCTGATTATTTAAAGGCACAGTCTGTAAACTCCACCAACAGGGGGCGCTCAATGCAAACAATAACAAAAGATGACGTCGAGGCTGGCAGGGAATCGTGGGAGTTCTCTGTGCCACTCCCCCCAGCCCGATGTAAACGACCTTCACGTTGACCGTAGTCATGACGACCAGGTGAATCAGACCTGAGGAAAAGAATATGTTACAGACGAGCTAAGGTATCCGAGTATAATTAACATGAGGTTTTTATCACAGCAGCACATACAGCAACAGTACGGCAGCTTTCAGCAGCAGCTCATTAACATTAGCATGCTAACACAACAATGCAGGACACAGGTGATTGCAGCTCGAGTTGAGGGCGATTTTATCCGCTGCTTGCGCTTAATGGTGCTTAATCATGGTGCGTCCTTATTCATAAATCCTGTGTGAACATGAGTGGAAGGGCGTTGGAGGTGTGTCTCTGGAGGAGAGCGGAGGCTTCAGTATGGAGGAGGCGTGGCCTAACAGCAGTATGTTTTGGTTTCATCCTGGTGTTTAAGGGCGACACCTACTGGATCAAAAAGTCGCACATTCTTCCTTTGAGTATGATAGACGTAAAAAAAGTAAAGGATCACGAAAGTGTGATTTATTTTTATTAAAGACAAAAGTCAACCTTCATTCAGCTGTTAATGAACAAAACATCTGTCAGCTCGTTCACGAGGAACAGGAAGCAGACCAACTGCATGTGTCAAACTGAGCAGTGACGTGAAACAGGAGCGTTTGAACAACAGTTAGCTTCTGCAGGCTGCAGCACGGACTCTGAATCAAACAGTGTCACTGATTCATTAAAATGATTCACTTTGAAATATGATCAGAAACGAAAGTTTACCGTAAAACTCCAAGCCCATACCAATTGAAGGCCCAGCGGTCCCTTTTACTCTTCTGGTGTTGCTGCACATTTAAAGGCAGCTCTCATTCAGAGGCCCCGATGCATTATGTGTCGTAATAGTTTGTGCATCAAATATAAGGAGAAAGAGCTGCATGACACAAAAAAAAAAAATTAACTCCAACATCTGTCCAAGAAAGACAGAATAAAGCTCTCGTGTGCAGGACATGAAGCAAGTTTACTCTGTCTTACAAAGTTAATTTATTTAAAGGTCACATGATGCAAAAATCCTCTTCACCATGTTCATCTAACACTAACATGTGTCTCTAGTCTGTCTACAAACCCCCAAATGATGAGAAAAGTCCATCCTCTCCGTCTTTTGCCTGCTCCACTTTTCAGAAAATGTGTGTTTTCCCTTCATGACATCACAAAGGGCAGTAACCCCTCCCCCAGGTGTAACACTCCCACAGCTAGGTGTTTGTTCTGCCCTCTGAGTCTGCCTTCTCACTGTAAACAATAGGACATGGAGCAAGAAAGCCAGAGCCACCCAAGCCCTTCCAGAGAGGGGGCGTGGTCAGACACAGCTCATTTACTTTTAAAGGTACAGACACAGAAACAGCCTGTTCTGAGCAGGGCTGAAATAGAGGGGTTTATAGGCACGATCAAATACAGGATCAGAGTGCATTTAGAACAAGAAACTTCACACACATGTTTTAAGGAGCTTTAAGACTTATTTACACTGGTTGAAGAGGAGGAGAATATGTGACCTTTAATGTCTTGTGAATAAAAGCCGGGTGCTTTAAAAATAAGTTTTACGGTAAATTTGTTTGAATACATTTCTATAGATTTCAGATCTTTAACTCATTGATCACACATTGGATATATTTATTTACACTTGTCATTAGTAATAAAATGTGTTACAGCTCGTTATTCTTTAGAAGACTTTTCATATGAACAGTCATTTACAGTATTTTCATCTTAAATCAGTTTGGGTTTAAAGTGCAATCAGCTGCTCTTTAAGTCGAAGCAGGAACAACATGAGACGTCTGGAGCTGCAGATTTGTTGGTGAAGAAGAAGCACAACCAGATCCAAAGAGATTGACTGTTTGATAAACCCCGCCCCTCCAACATGACCATCAGCTACACTCGGTCACTAGCTGCACAGCAGGCCGTCAAACTGAGGATTCCTCCGAAGGTGTTTGCATCGCGATCATCCCAAGATGGAGCTGTTTCTTAGAGTTTGCACATTTCTTTTAGTTTGGACTTTAAATAATGACGTTTAAATCAAAATTAAATAATGAAGTTTACATGATTAAAATGTTCCTCCTGTGCTCTTTAAAATAAAACATTGGAAACTTTAATGTTGGCAGACCCTGCAGAGGTCGGTACCCCCTCTGGTCCCCCCTCTAAGGCCCCCCCACTCAGAAAAGTCTGGATGATGGTGACCTATCAGATTCCCTACATTTATATGATTTGTAAATAAGGAACACAGCAGGTAACAGATACACTCCTGTGCAGCAACACATCTGAAACTCAAAGGGGGGCGGGGCTTAGCAAACAGTCACTACCTGAACATATTAGTATTCAAATACTTTTGTTGAATCCTCGTACACAGTAAGGGTCGGGATGCATTTTGCTCAGCAGCTTCAGTTAAACCATTTTTGTTCCTAAGTCACCTGAGTGACCTCACAGAGCGAAGCACACACACACACGCCGCTGCATCACATAAAGCAGGTCGCCATGTACAGGTGTTAAATGTTCCCGTGTTTCCACCTCATCATTCACACTCGTACTTCTCCTGTGATGTCATCAGCTTGCATAGCAGAAAACTGACATCTGTATCCATCGCTTTCACCGATATAACCCTAACCATCGTCCTCAGTAGGCTGCGGCGAGCGCTGACTGATCCTCCATCAGTCTTTAAGGAGTCACAGGTGAGTCATTGGGGCGGGCATTAGGTCCCAGCTCAGGTTTCATGTCCTCATCTGTCCTCAGGGTCTGCGTGTCGGAGGTCAGATCTCGATGTCCACCGGTCTGATCTCTCCGGTCTTGTTCTCCTTCACCCACAACTCTCTGTCTTTGCTCGGGTCCACGCACTGCAGCAGCTGGTCCACCGGCTCCATCGTCTGGATGGAGAGAGAACAGCAATCAACAGGTAACACGGATTAAGACTGTACCATGACACTGTGGCTCCCTCTGCTGGTCAAAGCAGGGAATGTTGGGATTGATTTAATTTGATTTTTTAGAATAGAGAAGTGGTTTTGTGTCCTGGTGTAAAAGTGAAACCAAGTATGAAGTATCTGAAATCTGCATTCCTTCTATGTCCAGCAGGGGGCGTCTCACTAAGCAGCAAAAATCTGCCTGATGTCTCAGTGAACAAGTTAGTGGTCTCAATCTCTAGTTTGAAAGTTTCTTCAACACAACATGATGTTCATTTAGTAAATTATAGTCCCATTCATCCATTTATTATCTGTACTGCTTTTCTTTGGACTGTGGGAGGAAGCTGGAGTACCCGGAGAACTGGAAGAACATGCAAACTCCACATGGGGGGGGGGGTGCTCCTGTCTGGGGATTCAAACCAGGAACCTCCTCACTGAGGCAACAGCGCTAACCACTGCAGCCCCAATTATGGTCTCATTTAGAGTCACAGAAACAAGAAAGAGTTTCCATGATTGTACTTAAAGACACTCTGAGGTGTCGGCTTTTAGTTTTATCAGGTGCATTTGTCTCATTTCTAGTGAAGATAACTTCTCATTGCATTTATGATAAGTCGTATTTATCTACAGCTCCAGATAAAAACATGATTTGAAGTTATTACAAGGAGAAAATTAGGCCTGAAAAACTTCATGAGGATATAAAAAAACGCAGAATGTTTGCTACTTCCTGTTTTCTTCTAGTCTGTGGTTGAAATGCAAAAATAACCGTAGATACAGTATTCATAATCAGCTGTCAGATTGTACATTCAGGTGGATGGCCTAGCGATAAGTCTGGCGCCCCCGTGTACAGAGGAGAAAGTCCGTCATCTCATCGTATTCCCTGCCCTCTCTCTCCTCCCTGTTTCCTCTCTCGGCCGTCCTGTCTCTTTAATAAAGACGATAATAATCCTGATGACAGTGACGGCCCCGCCCTCGGCCTCCTGTAACACTCACGCTCTGGTTGAACATGTCCGTCTCGTGCCTCAGCGTGGTGTACTGACACAGATGCTGCCGGATCATCTCCACCCGCTCCACCTCCAGACGCTCCAGCTCCTGACGAGCAGAAAACACACAAACTGTTAACACGAGACATGACGAGGTTCAAAGAGCTTCTCTCTCTGAAGAGTCGATGACGAGTCGGGAATAAAGGACGTCTGCAGTGTGAAAAAGTCTGACAGGAATTTAAATATAAAGACAAGAAAAAGATGAAACATTCAGCGTGATGGTGTTGTACCCAAACATTGATTAATCTCATGGTATTTTGTCCCTTCAGCCTCACCATAGATAGTGGTCCTCAGTGTCTCCCTGTAGTCTCAGTGATGTAAAAGAAGGACACTGCTGCATCTTTGAATGTCTCATTTCACTTTAACAAACTCTCAGACAGCTCAGCTGACGAGTCCAAAGTAATATCCACCTTATGACATCACACGTTGACCTTATGACATCACACATTGACCTTTGTTACCGTTCCTTTGAGCTGTTTGACCTCACTTTGGGATCCCTAACCACTTCCTGTTTCTGTGCTTAACTTCATGTCCTAACCTTCCATCTATAGGAAGGGCCTTACTTTATACACCACTTTTTTAGTGGTGTATGAATGGAATTTCACAGACTCGTCTGTGTTTTCACTGTTTCATGAATAACTGATGACCTCACAGAACAGGTCCTTACTGTATTTCAAAATAAAAGCTGGGTTGAATTCAAACAGGAAGTAAAGGACTCTCAGCTTAAGACATGACGCAAAATAACATTAAACATGAGTCTTAAACATGCAATAAAAAAAAGTGATAAATCGCGATTGAAAATTATAACCATTTGACAGCCATGATAATAAAGCATAAAAAAAACTTTGAGCAGAAATCCGAAAAGGAGGAGAGATTGTTGGAGGTGTGGGGAGCATAAACACTTTGAGAGGGAGGAAAAGGAAAAATGGGGCCAAAAAATCTAAGCGGCCCTCGCAATCCTTGTGAATTCAAACAGCAGCTTTAAGAGAGATGGAACTAAAGTTCAAAATGAGTCTAAAATTGTTTTTTTTTAAATGCAAAATAACAGAATTCTAAAATGCTATTAAAAGATTTAATCGCTTCACAGCCCTAAAATATTTATAAATCACAGCATCACTGATGAACACATGAAGTCTTACCAGACTGGTGGTCACCATCTCCTCGAACCACTTCGACTGTGACTGATTGTAGAGGTCTACACATCGCATCAGATCGTCTCCTGGTGGACAGAAATCAGACAGAGTTCATTCAAAGTGAAAAACATGAAGCTACAGACGGACAGACAGCCTTTAAATATAAACTCTATCTACAGTACATTAAAGAGGAGCAGTGCAGACTCTGTCCAGTAGGTGGTGATAGAACCACACTGTCAGTGTCTGTGCCTCCTCCTCCTCCTCCTCCCTCAGCCTCGTCTCAGACGGAGGAGCTGATCAGGACTGATAACAGATTTTATTATGAAAACATTATCATCAATTTAAAGAAAGATCGAATCTCTTGAGTTTGTTAATTTCATCTCCGGCTGGAAACAAACTCATCATGTGTGAGATTCAATCAGAGGAGTAGATCGTTGTGTTCATCTCCTGCTCATCACTCAGACGTTCATGTTGTTTCATTATTAATATAAATCTGATATGAGGACGGCAGGACAGGGTTTATCAAAGTGGAGTACAGGGACCAAGAGGGGCCCTTCAGCGGTCTTCAACAGGTCAGCTGTGATCTAAAGTGAACTGTTCTTAGTGATTATTGAGTCAGTAAAAGTCTGTCACTGTAACCGTGTGTGAGTCCAGGCAGAGCGTTTTGGACAGGATTTAAAAAAGGCAAACGTCATCGTCTTGTGGAGCATTCATGTGGTGTCTGGCGCATCATAAAAACAAGTCTCCAAGTTGTAAAATGCACATGAACGCCTCCTCAAGTCGGAACAAGAAGTCGGAAACTCCCGCCAGACTTGTCGTCATATTCGTCAACAAAATGTGTTTAGTTCATGTTAAGATACTTTTTTTGCGTATTGCACGTCAACCTTTAGCTCAAATATAACTCGTCCTCAGTGAACGAATCAGGACAGAGATACAGCAGGGTGCGTGAGGAGAACTCTAAATCTGATAAACGTCTGATGCTAGTGATGTCAGCTGACGTTAGCTGAGTGAAACATTTAGAAACTCTGAGTCTCATTCTGTCAGATTTAAGCTGCATTAACGGCTCATCTCATGAATATCTATGTTGACGTAACATCAAGTTGAACTGGTGCAGCTCAGTTTACAGTCCGCAGGTGAGCTCAGCGTGCGACTCTGAAACCTGAAGAGAGAGCAGGTCGACTAGGCGTTGTTTGTTTTGTCATCAGCCTCCTCTTCCTCGCTCGGCGCTCTTCATCACTGACAGACGGGCACTGTCAACACCGACTGGTTACATAAGCAGCAGTGTGTGTGTATGTTTGTGTGTGTGTGTGTGTGTGTGTGTGGGGGGTGTGTGTGTGTGTGTGTGTGTGTGTTGTGTGTGTGTGTGTGTGTGTGTGTGTGTGTGTGTGTGTGTGTGTGTGTGTGTGTGAAGTCATACAACTGTGTGACAGTGTGCGGTCGTGCCTGGATGAGTGATGACATCACACTGAGACGTTTGAGTTTACATCTGTTTACTGTGAGCCTTCCTCTCTCTCTCTCTCTCTCTCTCTCTCTCTCCTCAGGTCAACACAAACTGACCCTCCTCACACACTTGTTTGTGTTTTCACAGTTTAATGAAGAACTGATGACCTCACAGAACAGATCCTTAATGAATTTCAAAATAAAAACAGCGTTGAATTCAAGGACCCTCAGCTAAAGACGGGACGAGTTTTAAACATGTGATTAAAAATGTGATTAATCGTGCTTAATAGACCTGAATGTAAATAGACCTGACACATTAAAATAAACTTTGAGCAGAAAAGGAGGAGAAACTGGAGGAGGTGCAGAGAGAGTAAGAACGCCTCTTTAACTTTTCCTCGTCTTTGAACCACGAGAGAGACGAGAAGGAGAAAAGAGGGAGAGAAATCTCACGGTCCAGGAGAGCCGCACGCTCCTTCTCCTCTTCACCATGGTGACTAGTTTGCAGCTTCCTGTTTGTTGCTGGTGAGAGCGCTCTCATTGGTTATTGACGGTCACTTCATTGAATGACAGAGTTTAAATAAGACACGACTAAAGAGCTGCAATGATATTAAACATGTTTGATTTCATCATCAAGATGACTGAAAGACTAAAACAGCTCGGAGCGAGTTTGATAACCACCTCACACTGAACGAGCGAGATCGCAGAGAGGACGCCTCGACTTTAGAGAAACTCTCGATTAGTCTGAGACTCTGACATCACTTCAAAATTCGCCATGTCTGCATCCAAACAAAAAGGGACTCAGGGTTAGGATTTCAAACGTCCCTCTTTAACAACAAACATCTGAGTGACTCTGTGACCCCACGCTGACCCTGCAGTTTGACCCCTGCCCCCCGGCTCTGACCTGCCTGCGTGGACTTCCTGCGGGCCTTCTTGATGTCTTCTTCGATCTTGCTGCTGAGTTTGATCTCCTGCTGCTGCGTCTTCAGCTCCAGCTCTTTCTGCCGGTCGGCCAGAGCTTTACGAGCCTGAACGAGAGAGAGAGAGGAGACATGTTAGACGCCAATGCGGCGCCGAAACAAATCGTTTTAGGCTTTTATACGACCAAACAACAGGTCAGCAAATAAGTTAGACGAAGAATAAATTAGTGTGTGTCCCTTTAAGTATTTGTCTGTGTGTGTGTATTAGTTTGTGTTAGTGGGTGTACCTTCTCCACCGAGGCGTAGCGTCCGACCAGCTGTTTCCGCAGGTCGGCAATGTGATGGTCGAACCTCTTCATGTCCTTCTTGAAGTTCTCTCTGAAGGTCAGCAACGGTTTCTCTACCTCGCTCTGCAGCTGATCAAAAGAGAGAAAGAAAGAAACAACCTTCAGACCTGACGAGCAGCAGAAGAAAACAAACAATGATCAGACCTGACGAGCAAAATGAAGAAAACAAACAACGATCAGACCTGACGAGCAGCAGAAGAAAACAAACAAACAACGATCCGACCTGACGAGCAAAATGAAGAAAACAAACAACGATCAGGCGATATGGTCCAAAACTCATATCTAGATCATGTTTAGCTGAATGGCGATACTCGATATATAACGATATTTAGTTCTGTTTTAAATTAACTTTTTATCGCAGCAAATGAAGGCCTCCATGATATTTCATCATCATGTTCATTTATTCATGATGTCATTGTTGATATTTAAACATGTACAGATGAACCGGCTGCAGTGTGAAGCTGCTTTTTCAACGGTGGTCTCTGAAGGTTCTTCAAGAAACGACGTAAGTTCAAATAAGTACTTGTGAAGGCCCTGGTGGTGGAGGAGAGTGCTGTGGGCTCAGTTCCTCCTTTTCTCTGACGTCAGAAAAACTTTTATTTTTAGCTGCAAAGATTTTTGAGTAGTCTCCATCATTGAGCAACAACAGAGCCTCCACTGTTTGTGTCTGAAGGCTTCAGCAGGTAACGCCAAAGAGGCAGAAGAGGTGACTCATCAAATGTTACTGATGCACAATGAACTGAAGTCAAAAAAACCACTGAGGGTTAGAAACTTGTTCATCTTCCCCAAGATTTTTTCCCATGTTAAATAGACTGAAGCCTTTGAGCTCTACTAAAAGCTCTTTTACACCGCAAGTGTACACCTGTTAGGTGTACACCACACACCTTATTGTGAGTAACTCTTATCCTTCATCAAATCATAACGGATGAGTCATCAAAACATCAAAACATTCACCCCCCGTACAGTGTGTGTCGATCGAGACATGAGCTAATCAGACCTATTTGGTTTTTAGAACCAGGCTGTAAACATGTTAATCTCTGCTGTAAAAACAGGCTTTTTTAGAATGGGTGTGTGTGTGACTTCCTGTGCTTCTGCAGCCAGCCTCTAGTGGACACTCAAGGAACTGCAGGATTTTACACTTCAGCGTCGTCTTCATTTTTCATCACAGGTTGCTGCTTGATAGTTGGGCTGAACACTGGCATAAGGTGACGATTAACTCAAGATTAATACGAAAACATCTTCTGATTTCAGAAACACTTTGAAGGAGCCAAAGATTAAAACTGACCGGTTTGTGTGATTCTCACTGGAACAATGACAAGATCAAAACTGTTTCTATGATGAAAGAAAAGCTCGTCTCTGAAGCATCTTTGTGTTTCATGCAGCGAACAAACATGAAGCGCCAACATTAACAGAATAAGTTTGTTGATTTGATGCAGAAATAAAACATCACACCGCCCTGAACTCTGAGAATATCCAGCTAGTAATGAATATATGAAAGGATTCTTTTTAAAGATATTTCCACTCAGTCCTGTTGGATCCTGAATCACGTGGAGCAGATGAATTTAAATGTGGTGTCATCTCTGGTCTCATGTTGTGTTCACTGTCCACAAGCCTGCATGACTTCTGATTACTGAATAAAATCCAGAAACAGAAAGTCGTCATGCGTATAAAGTGGTGACTTCTCTCCACAGCAATAACCCGTGAAATAAATTCAAGTTTTTATATTACAGTAATTATAAAGTAATCAATCAAAAACAGGAAATCTCTCTAATCCCTCCACTCTCTATCTGATTTAATTATCTTTAAAACCATCATTAACTCCATTTCCTGCAGCTGCTTTCAGCATGATGTCATCATCGTCTCACTGAGTACTCGCTCGGATGAGAACCGTTTTTTCATTTAAGAGCAAAACAACAAGCAGAGCATTCCAGATCCTGTCCACTGCACTCGCTCTACACATGTTTCATTCTGAAGTGAAACCTTCCTGCTCCAGTTATGTGATCATACAGCAAAGTGTTTCCATGTTTCTCTCATCAGCATCTTTCCCTTTTTCATGCTCTGCATCGATACCCAGGAGTAACGCAGCAAGTCGTTTTCTCAGCTCCTCTTTAAAAGTCTGACTGAGGGACGGACCAAATGTGTGTGTGTGTGTGTGTGTGTGTGTGTGTGTGTGTTTGTGTGTGTCTGTGTCTGTGTGTGTGTGTTTGTGTGTGTCCTGCAGCCCACAGAGCCATCAGGAAACCCTTCAGTGTGTGTGATCACGTCTGAACACAGTCTGTGTGCCTCGTGACTCACATGCGCTGCCCACAGTCAGTATGGAAACACATACTGTCCAAAAACCTGTCTCCCTCATCGTGTGATCAGAATTAGTTCAGTTTGTAGAGTTGGAAACCCTTTAACACAATATTAAGACTGAAGGGAGAACATATCCCTTCTCTACAGATTTTGGGGTCTAAAGGGAGATTCGGTGATCCTGCAGCAGGTAAACAGTCTGTAATGACTGCAGCGTTATTCAGGATCAAAGTGTGTCCACTATAAGTTGTTGTTTTTGTCCTTGCTTGGCCAGAGGCTTGATGTAATGTCCGGTCTCAAAATGGAGATGCTGCTTTTCTCTCTATGCTCTTTACAAAAGAGCATACGGGATAATATGCAAGAAGGATTTCTCCTTTGTGTTCCTCTCGTTCCTGTTGTCCACACTTCCTCACCGCTGATTACAGCCCCACTTCACCCCCATTACAGCCATTTCTGTGTTCTTGTTCGGGTAAAAGTTCACAGAAAAGAATACAAGACGACATGAAGGAAGTGTGTGTCACGTTGAACATGCATGTGTGTTATTAAGTGCATGGCTCTCCTGCAGGCATGCATCTTATTAGAGGAGGAGAGAAGCGTGACGGATTACCTTTGAGGAGAACTTTAGATGAACCTCTGCCTCGTCCGCCAGACTCGTCTTCAGCTGAGCCCAGGCCTCCCCCAGAGTCCTGCGAGAGCGGAGAAGGCCGTTTAATAACTCACACCAGGAAGAGACCACACACACATTTTCACTTAAAGTCACACAGGAGGGAGCAGAGAGTGTCGGGGAAACACACACACACACACAAACACAAACACACACACACACACACACACACACACACACACACACACACACACACAGATGGGCTTCAGCTGCAAAAGTTCACAGATGGAGCAGTAACAGTAAATCTGCAGCGCTGAGCGGAGGTCTGCAGTTCACCACATGATGATAACGTACGAGACGTGAGATACAGTTCATGTTTAAACACAGCTGGAGAACATAACATGCAGGGGGGGTTCTTAAAAAGAAGATAGGTAATGCACACTGTAATAATTGTTGTTGAATTGTTGAAGCCAAAATAAATACAGAAAGAATTTACTGAGTCAACACTCGACAACTCCAATCTGTTTATGTGAAGACGATATTATCTCAGTATGAATCAGAAGAACTATGATCCAGTTGGTTGGATTTAATTAATATAAAGTTGTTCTGTTTATTCTGTTTCTCTTCTCTGTTAAAGGAGAAATATAAAACTCTGACAACCTAGTGTTTAAAATGGGTACTGCAGTCCAAATTCAAAAATTGTAGAGAGCTGTCCCCCCCCGCCCCCTCCTCTAGTGGATGCTCACGCATGTTGCCATGTGGTGGACACTGAAGCTTCAGTGTTTAGCCAGCTCTGCATGAGTCTGTAAACCTTTCTGCATTCTGGATAAGCTACCTGATGACATGATGATAAATCACCGCCTGCTTTGTTTGCAGAAATATATGTTCCGCCGTAACCAGCGTGTTTCCACTCATTCTCTCTCAGAGGGTTTCTAAGAGTTTGTGTGGATGTAAGGAGGTAGAGGGAGTCTCCACATTTGCTGCAGCTGCTGACTGTAAAACAATCACCAAGCGGTCAGACGCACACGGAGACAAGAGGCTGCAGGTCGTCTTCATGGTGGAGCGCGCTCACTTCAAAGCACCGCTCTGAATAGAAGACATGTGAGGAATTCCCTCAGACTGACAGCCAAAACATTCCTCGCATAGTCAGAGGAAAGTCTAAGGCCTGCAAAGCTCCAGCAACAGAAATGGGTCAGCCTGAGTGTCACCCAGAAAACTAACTGCACATACGTCTGTGCTGAGAGAATATTTACAGTTTCCTGCTTTCCATCTCATCTCAGGTCTAGAGCTGACGTTTCAGATTCATCAGATTTGGTTTATCTGCTGGAAACTTTGACTATTCCTGACTTTTTATTCAGTTCAGCTCTTCACCAAAACTCTTAAATCAGCATGCATGAGCTGCATGTTTGACACGTTTATCTATTAGACTCCACAGTCAGTCAGACAAAATAAAAAGTCCCACAAATTCTACTAACGGTCACATATTCTATAAAATCTACTTCCCCATGTTTCTCTAACTCTAATATGTGTCCCTAGTCTGTCTACAAACCCCCCAATGCTGAGAAAAGTCCATCCTCTCCGTCTTTAGTCTGCTCCACTTTTCAGAAAATGTGTGCTCAAACAGGCCGTTTGGAGATTTTCCCTTCATGACATCACAAAGGGCAGTAACCCCTCCCACAGGTGGGTGTCACTCCCACAGCTAGGTGTTTGTTCTGCCCTCAGGGTCTGCCTTCTCACCGTAAACAATAGGACATGGAGCAAGAAAGCCTGAGACACCCAAACCCTTCCAGAGAGGGGGCGTGGTCAGACACAGCTCAATTACATTTAAAGGTACAGACACAGAAAAAGCCTGTTCTGAGCAGGGCTGAAATAGAGGGGTTTATAGATATGATCAAATACAGGATCAGAGTGGATTAAGAACAAGAATCTTTGTTTTGATACGTCAGTTGGTTGAGGCCACGCCTGTTCACGTAATCGTCAACTGTCAGAAACTGGGGTAAGGCGTATACATGACACAGTATCCTGTTTTTTTTTCAGACAAAAAGCAGATTCAGAAAGCTTTCAGCCATTTTGGTTTTATGCAACAAACACTTCAAGAGCTCTCCTTCGTTAAAGTCTCTCCTTCGTTTCTAAACTCAGCCACATTTTACAGACGCTGCTGTGATTGGCTGTCAATTTGCCCGACCTGAAAAAGCCAGATGGAAATCTGTCCGACAAAACGAGAGGGACCAGAGACATCTGCTGGAGAAATCTCATTTCACTCCTCCTCTTGTCCTCTCAGACATTTTGTTCCTGCAGAAGTTTGTAGCCTGTGATGATTTCTCTTCATGTTTAAATCTGTACAGTCTATGAGCACAGATTGTTGTCCACCTTTAAGATATGATACAGACGAGGCAACAATATTCCAATCAAATCCCTCGTCAACAAACCCCGTAGCCGAGGGAGAAATCATTTCCTGCCTCCATTCAGCAGAATAAAAGTGATCACATGCCCGCAGGCCACATCTCCACCAAACAAATGGTAACTTCAGGAATAAATAGTCGGCTGGTTCTGCTGCTCGGACGCTCAGAACTGACCAACAAAACGCTGATTGTCCGTGTGACAACAGAGCGGCCTGAGGGCAAGGATAATGAAAGGATTGTGCTGCACTGTTCTGGGCGTGGGCCGAGCGAGCCGTCTGGTATAATCTGGATTCTATATGAGACCTCCCACTCTGATCAGCGTCCTAATACGAGGATGGATTACATGACACACATGTAGGCAGAGGAAGCACGGATAAACCTATTAGGAAGTTTTCTATTTTCAGCAGAGTCGCCCCCTTTCAGAGAATCTGAAGTCCAATCAGGGTTTCACAAGAGCAGAAACCTAAACTTAGATATCATTCGAGTAAAATGAAATGATATTGATATATTTTAATACTACAGCATCTAAAAGGGAAGTCATTGTCCCCCAGTAACAGGGCTTCATACTGAACTGATCAGAAATCAAGTCTATCCTGTGTAAATGTGTCTCTGAGTCATGACTGTCTACAATGAGTGAGAAGCTCGAGTCCTGCTAGCCGGCTCCTCCCCTTGTGTATAAAAGCTATTTTAGTCAAAGACTAGAGAGAAGAAGAACATACTCACTGATTATTTGGACGTCACGCAAACGTTTTTAGGGCACTGTCATTCTGTGTAAATTTACATGCAATGTGAAGCTAGGAGCTAACTAAAGAGCGCTAACATTAGCATGCTAACACAACAATGCAGGACACAGGTGATTGCAGCTCGAGCCAAGGTCAGTTTTGTCCGCTGCTTGCGCTTAATGTTTTTTGATTATGTTGCATTCTAATTGGTAACTCCTTTGTGGGATCCCGAGTGGAGAGGGGTTAGAGGTCAAACTTTAGAGATGCTTGAAACAGTCTACATGTTGTGTTTATGTTGTTGGGATGGAAAAAGAAAAACAGACTTCTGAAGTGAACTTCTTGTAATGAAGTAAATAAACCTGCACAGCTTCATGCTGTCACAATCAAAATCATTGCTGCACGAAATATGGGCCAAAAAATTAGATTACAAAATGGCTCAAAAAGATCTGTGGGTTGTGTTTTAAAAATATTCCACTCTTCCTGACTTTCCTTTATTCTTTACATTTGTATATATATTTCTCCTTTAATAAATAAAACTTTCATTAAAATCAGTTTGTTGAGTTTGACTCGTCCTCTTGAAACCTGGTTTTGTTGCAGCTCTGGATGCTTCCCTGATGTTTGTCACGTTGCCGCTCTCTCTCTCTCTCTCTGTCCTCAAGGAATCTTTTAATAAAGACGAGTTTAATAACGGAGCTGTAGGCGTCATCCGTACAAATCACAGCTTCGTGTCTTAGTGGGTGTTTTCAGCCGGCCGTGCCCCTCTCATCGTCACTCTTAGTGTTTCTGTTTCCCCTCAGAGGACCAGACAAAGACTCGGCCTCAGCGTGAAACCCCCTCTGCTGTCAGACTCTCTCCCCCTGCAGGGCTTCCCTCCTCTCCGGCTCCCCTTCAACCCCCAACATGTTCAGCTAAATGTCTGCCTCCTCACATCACACTCAACTCATCTTCAGGTCTCCCCCTCTCCCCTTCCTCCTCCTCCTCCTACTGGTTTCTCTGTGTCCTCCTCCTCCTCCCCTTCCTCCCTGTACCCTCCTCTCCTCTCCTCCTCCTGGTTTCTCTGTCCTCCTCCTCCTCTCCTCCTCCTCCTCTCCTCCTCCCTGTCACCTCCCCTCCTCCTTCTCTCCTCCTCCCTGTACCCTCCCCTCCTCCTCCTCCTCTTCCTCCCTGTACCCTCCTCTTCTCCTCCTCTTCTCCTTCTTCCTCCTGCTCCTCCTGCTTCTCCTCCTCCTCCTCCTCCCTGTACCCTCCTCCTCTTCTCCTCCTCCTCCTCCGCCCTCCCGCTCTGTTTTAAACGCCGCTGTCTGCAGCAGGACGGAGATCAAAGCGTGCCCTGATTTACAGGAAGTCTTCAGTGTCTCACAGCTTCTGTGACGGGACCTGCAGACCCTCACGCACAGCGGGACGTCCCGCCTGGCTGCTTCGCTAACAGAAGAGCTGTCTGTCTGTCTGTCTGTCTGAGCGGCTAATTGGTCTGCTAACTTCACATTTATACTTCAAAACTCCTCGCATGTTACTACCCCGATGAATTAAAGTCAAGTTGTACTTTCAAACCCTCCTGGACCTGGATACCAACGTGTCTTCTCTGGTTTGAAGGTTTCCTCCACCTCTTTGATGGAAGCCTAGATGTTCTGTTTCAAAACAAGTCAGTGTTCTCGTCAAATTTAAAAAGGAGGATTTATATCCAGGAGCTGCCAGTGAGAAGTTTTAAAGGGGACATATGATGAAAAGTCCACTTGTACAGTGTTTTTCGAACATATATTTGGGTAACCTGAGTGTCTACTGAAAAATGTTCAGTTTCAAATATGCTCTCCTTGTGATGTCACAGTGGGATTCTGGTTAAAAAAATGCCCTCCCCTCCCCTGGTATCTCCACCCATGTACTCCATCCCATGCTTATAGCTAAAATTTTGCACAGGTCCGCTATTTTTATTCTCTCTAGTGAAGGAGTGATGTCTACGGGGAAACTCAGAGGGGGCTCATTGCATTTAAAGAGACACACACACCAAAATGGAGTGTTCTGAGAGAGCTGGTTTATACAGGGTCACAAACCTCCTCTGGTGCTTGATTCATGTTATATTTTGACCAAAGCACAGCACAGATGTTTCATTTAGACCACAGGGGACTGTTTGAAAAGGTGGAAGAGGGGGATGATATGTCCCCTTTAAAGAGAGGAAATTACATAAACTGTACGATAGATGAATGAACTGCTTCCTCTGAGGCTTCTTCTTAACTTGAACGTTTCTTTAATCACCTGATGCTGAGTCTGTTTCTGCGTCCTGCAGCTGATCCTACCTCTGACTGAAAGTGTCCTCCGTGGCGCTGAGAGGCGTCACATTAATGATATGACTAAACGGAGGAAGGAGCCCAGAGAGACGTCGTGTGCAGCCTCCTCATCTCCACAGAGGGAGAGACCCGTCTGCCCCAAGAGGTGACGTGAGTTTTCTTCTTGTTTGGTTTGAATGTTGATTCACGTCTTCCAGAGAGTCAGGCGTGTGTGTGTGTGTGTGTGTGTGTGTGTGTGTGTGTTTGAGAGACACAGGAGGGGAGGGGGGGGTTTGTCTTTGGAGGACTGTCACTCACCCTTCCTCCTGGCCAGCGAGCGGGATCTGCGAGAGTTTGGCGAGGTTCTTGGCGTACTCTTCTTCTATCTTTATCCTGAGAGGGGGGAGGGTGG